CCTCGTAGAGCGCACTGTGTAATCTGATGATGCTGGCTATTTAGGAAAGACACTCCTGTGACCCAATCTCTGTACAGAGTGGCTCACTGCGCACTAACAAGCACATACAAACACAGGCGAAGTCGTACACAGATACGCACAAACATACATGCAAACAGACCAAAGTCATGTTCATCTGTGTGAGACTGTGCAGATGTTACAGGCTGAGAAACATCTGCAGGATTATCTGTGGCTTTGGCTCGCCGCAGCTTCATGCTCAGGAAGACAAAGGATGCATGTTTCCATTTTTAAGGCAGAAACACTTGGAATTCATTGAACATACTGTACTTCACAGTGCTTCAACATATGGTTGTCTGTACTATTTTTATTTCTGGTTTCTCTCTGCAAATAAAGCCCTTTTTATGTTCTCGTTATATTGTAAATCTTGCATGATTTAGAACGCAACTATCTGCCAATAAAATGTCATGATGGGGGATTTTAAGGCCCCTGTAAAGTATGAAGCTAACCTTTGCAAAACCAAAGAGAGAAATGTTAACTCATGTCTTCCATAGAATGTCTTTTAAGTTCCTTTTTTTTAAATAATGGCCAATGGAATCGCTGTTAAGTTTTGCTGAAGATTTGACAAACGTTTAGCAACTAGGCTAACTAACAGCCAAGCTACTGTAAAACATATAAAAAACACTGTCAGTCAAATTGCTCGAACTGTCCAAAAGTCAAAAGCTAGTTACAACATCACTTCAATCTGGAAGTCATTCAAACTGTCCCCAAAACATTTTTTTCTCTCCCACTGGGACAAAAAGACCCCAATGAAAAGAATTAAACTTAATTTCCACTCTACTTCAGAGCCAGAGACACATAATGGAAAAAACCTGTCTCATATTTCACAATACTTTTTTCCACATATCAAATCTGATGTGCATTAAACAGAAACAATATATAGGGTTTTTTTTTCTTTTTCAAGGTGCTGACACCCTAAACCTTTGCTCTGGTGCTGAAAAGATGGATCAGTCTATAGAAACCATACACCGGAACGTACCCTGAGCATGTGGTGCTGACAGAAATGGCACTCAGAGAGAGAACTTTGTCACCGTGAAATGCAGTCGAGGCTATCATGACGTTCACACATCTTGACATGCACGAAGTAAAATTGTTGAAAAAAAAAAAAAACCTCACACTGGCTTGGGTTGTATTTTTAGCTCTGTACAAGTGCAAATTTGCACTTGTGTGGGGTGAACTAATCGTAGCTATGTGCATAGTGTAACAGCACCAGCAGCAAGTCTGATGTCAGCCAGCCACACTGTCAACTTTTGAATTATATCATATTATGACAGATTTTAGTGAAGCTCCTAAATGAACACTCGAGGCTTCAGGCTACATTGTTGCTTCTTTCCATTACTCATTGTCACATCCGTACTATGTCATTCATCTAGCAAAGACTAAATGGCTGTAAATGTGAAAAATAACGTGTTTCTTTTGAATATATAAGTTGGGCCTTGATTGTTATTTAGGACACAGTTTGTCCAGGAAGAACAAAACTCTGTCACAATGACGTTGGCGTTCACCTTTAGCCACCCATCCACACACAGTAAGTGCTTAATATGTGGATTTTCAAAGGTTGACAGCAGCAGAGTTCAGGTCAGAGGCCTCACCGTGACTTGGAACCAAATTATGACAATTGTCTGTGATTACACCGTGCTGGGGCAGGTGCCATGAGCATGACGGGATCACGCACCAGCTGTCACTTCTGATTGTAACCAACTATGCTGGCTGGGCTTCCTGGCAGAGCTACCTTGACCGTTGGCGGGCAGACCACAGTTGAAGGGTGGTCACGTTTTTGAAAACTTTTTTGTTTCTTTTCTCACTTCATCCTTTTTCGTGTTTCTTCTTGACCTTCACTTGTGCTAATTGACTCCCGGAGGCAAACTGAGTCATGCGCAAAATTATCATGACTCCTTAAGACAATTGTTCTCATAACTTTGGAGGGATTTAGGCACTAAAGAGCAGAAATGAGTATGCCGGGAATTTGCTGATGTAGCACAACATGGCGAGCGAAGACTTCATTCTAAAGGAATGCATTGTTGTTTGCGACTTTTTATAGGGTCCAAAAGATTGTAATCATCCCAGTAAATACTGGGCCAAAAGTGTGTTTCCGTTTGTGTCCAAATATTGAGTATTTTTCTTCCTTTGTCTGTTTGTAGTCACCTGTAAAACACTAGCTACTGTGCGGTAAGAGATGATCATTTTCTGACTCCTGTGCATAGCAACCCAATGACACTGACTGGTGGCAGGAGTAAAAAGGAATCGTAAACGTAATCCCAGACATTTGACCCTGAATTGACGCCACGGCGCTGTTAACGTCCATTATCTGCATGGATGGATTTGTGAGTGAGATTATTAGATGCAAGAACAGCTCTGCGTGGTTACAAAGTATGAAAACAGAAGTCCTGGAAAAAGACTGTAAACGCTCTGTGGATTTAAAAAAAAATTGGTCACTGTGAGTGGAACATAATGTTGAATACAGTCAAACTGAACCAGCTTTGAATCAAACCAAATATTTTAAAACACCCTGTAACAGAAGTGAACTGAACCGAACAAACATCTGCATGTTTCCTATGCTGCTTTAAACTTAAGCTCCTGTTCCTACATTAGCCAGACATGCTAAGTGCTAGCTTGTATGACAACACAGCCGAGGTGTTGTTGATGCTACTACAGATATATAAAATGTTATGTTGCTACATGTATGTGTTTCAGGTACTTTATTGATTCCTGCGTACTACAGTATTAGTAACTAACTGATTGTTAGTCCACTTCTCCATTCTGTAATGAAGAACTGGCCTCTGCAGTCCAAGCAGACACCTTGGACCATCCCTCAGTCCACTGCAGTTCACATATGGAGATATGGAGATATGGAGATCTCCTAATCTTCCATCTGTATTTTTAAGCTGTGAAAGAAACATAAAAATCATAATACACATCTTTCCATAAGGGCACACACAATGAACCTCTGCCACAGCACACCTTCATTTCTAATATATATTTTATGGTTTAAGATCTTACTGTGAAGCTCCTGATTCAGCCATGCAGAGAAGCAATTACATGGTGTTGTTTCTTCAAAACTGTACTCCTTGTCTGTGATGTGTTTTTGCTGTTTAGTGTTTTACCAAAAGTTTACTGATCTGTGGATCAGAAGGTAAACAATGTTGAAATTTGGGGCCGGTCGCCAACACCAAAAACCTTCAGTTGCCTGAAGGTTTTTCTCTGCAGCCAGAGATGTTGGTGTTTGTGATCCTGCCTGTAATAAACTCATCAAACCAAGGCATTTACACTGCACTTTAACCAGAGTCATCTCGTCCACAACCACATCAACACACGTATGACATCTCCTGTCTTCTAAAGTGTCATATACACTCTGTCTCCACGCAGCCTGACACTCTCGCTGCTGTGTCAGGCGGCAGTGATGAAGGAACTCACACTCCACTCACAGCTCACGTTGAAACAACACAAAGAGACTGCATCTAATTGGACACATTTTGGGGAAACAGCCATTACTGCCAAGTGCAGTTACAGTCCAAACACCACATGCCAGTGGACTGTCAACATAGATGTGGTGCGTGTATGGAGAGACTGAGTGAGACAAAGAAAGTGGCAGAGAGTGCAAGAGAAAATAATCTCCCAGCGTCTGGGCCGGCTGTGTTGAGAGAAGCTGAGTGAAAATAGAATATGAAAGATGAAATATCTCAGTCTCAAAGACTGAGATATAGAGGAGGAATAAGGTCATCTGAAGAAATATTTTGCCTTTTCCTTAGAGATTTATAATGGGCTTTCCCAAAACGTATCCCCTACAATCAGAACCATAAGGTACTGGTCAAGGCAGCAGCACTGTTAAAAAGAAGGGAATATTCAGAAACTTCTATAAACAAGTTTTTGGTGCATGACATATTGAGAGAACATTCTAGAATATACTTGAGTTAATTTGAACCTTGGGTGGCTTGCATATTGGATTGAGATGCCAATGTTTTTTTTTTTTTCATTGTCACACAGTCCTTTTTGTTTAAAGGTTTTTTAAGTCTCTCCTTATTTAGATTCTGCTGAGATGGCTTCTGACACTGAGCAGCAAAACAGATGTTGAACATGAAGAAACATGGCGAGTCATTGAGGTTTAGGAGGGTCAGGTACAGGATGACCCCAGAGTCTAACCGTAACTAATTGCTGACAGAGACAGACTGGGCCGTTTTAAGTGATCACCAGAGAAGGTTATGGGTTTGTTCATTGAAGATATATGACTCTGGTCCTTAAGGCTACTTTTAGTGGATGAGGATATGCTGTTGAGGAGTAGGACGTCAATGTAATGCAGTGTAACACTTCCCCTCAGAGGTTTTCCTTTTGTGAGGCTAGAGCCATTTCAGAAATTGCAATCCCATTTAGAGGAATATTGACCATAAGGCAAAACACAGACTCTTGGACTGTTTCGTTAATTGATTTCACTCTAAATAGCACTCAAATTTACAAAAATTACACCAGTGGTTCCCAAAGTGGAGGATGGGACCACTGCCTTAACCTGACCTTTGCTGGGCCGCTTCTTTTGTCTCAAAGGCGTTTCTTTGCCCTCGTGTCTGTTGCTTCAGCTACATATGATTGATTCAATGTCAATTTCCAATGATCCAGGGTTTTAAAATTACCTCATCTGATATATGCGGAGGTTAGCTTTATATGCAGTTTGTATGGTGTTGGCTGTGAATCTTAAAGGGTTGTAGGATCAAATCCTCGACTTTATTCTGTTATTTTATTCTGAATCTCACCGGCCTGGACGCCTCGCTCTCAGATGATAGATGGTAAAACCTTAAGTGCCAAGTGCTCCGATTGGTCATCAGGATAAAAGAAAAACACAGCATAGGTCCAGTCCGTACATTGACTACCTTAACAGATACAGTCTGACACTGGTGTAAGACGAATCAGGCTAATTTAATAACTAAGTTCAACATTGTTTGTTTTGCCTCCAGTCAGGTTTGATCAGAACTCCAGATGCAGACTACTTCCTGAAACCAGTGTCACTCAGTCTGGCCCAGAGGGAAAACTTCACGGCTCCATCCAATCACCTGCCACACATTCTCTACAGGAGCAGGAGGGACGTCAGCTCCGACCAAAGTCACCAAGTCCTTCAGAGATCTACAAGAGACTGGTCAGACGTCATCCACAGCACAGTTAACAGAGATCGCCAACTTGGTCAGGAACACAGTCATCAACATGGCAATAGTAACATGAGTCACGTCAGCCAGATGGAGCATCACGGCAGTAAACATCCTCACCACAGCAGCCATCACTATGGAAATAACGACAGGCACGGGGAGAAGCACAGGCAGCACTTTTGCGGGAGAAGGAAGAAATGTATGTAAGGGCTATTTTTCTTACTGCTCTACATTAACATGACGCTTTGTAACAAAGTGCACACTCATGTATCAACCATTCATGTGGTTGTGCAATGAAGATTCATGGCTTTTTTTCCCCCATGTAAATTCTGAGTGATAAAGAAGTCAGACTGCAGAGTGAAGTCGAGCAAAATTCACTGGTTGTTTTATTTTCTTTTATAAATCATACAGTCAGGACACGGAAAAGAATACATGAATGAGCACACGATTCTTAGATTAATCTAGATGTCGTCTTCTTTATGCATTTTGACTGAATTTACTTTTTCCTTTCAACTCCTTTCAAGTGTTTTTTGTATCCACATAAACTAAACACGTAAAAACCTTACATTGACGTTCATGTTTAAAATAATCCCAACATTATGCTGTATGTCACAAATAACACTAAATTAATTTATTATTATTATTATTATTATTATTATTATTACATTAAGATATGGAGCTAGCTGTTGTTTTGCCATGTAAAGCATAGTTTTCACTCTGTGAACTGACTTATTGGATTGACATCATTCGTCACTTAACCTGTAGAAAGGTTATGGGAACTGTTTTGTATTCACTTTACACTGTGACACATGTTTGCTTTCAAATAATTACCACCAGATCAGTTAACATCGCTGGTGTCGTAGGGTCATCCAAGAACCAGCAGGCAGGGAGGACTTGCACTGGTACCATCATCATCATCATCATCATCATCATCATCATCATCCTCACACTACAGAACCCCAGCAGTCCCTGTAAAAACACCCCAGTGTTTACATTGCTGCACAGTGACATCATCGAGCACCTGTGCTGTGCCTAGTCATAAAGGGCACTTTTGTGGCTCACCTGCTTTTCACCTACATTAGCAACCTTTCAGAAGGCTTTGTAGTTTATCACAGCCAGACAGTGATAGAAGAAAGCTGTGATAGCTTAAAACTGGGGAAGTGGAGATGGAGGGTGATAACAGTTAAAAAGCAGGTATGGGTTTTTGTCTGATAAATATTTATTGAGGTTTGTACTGTTGACCTATCTTAGTTGCTCATAAAACAGTGAACATGGACAATTGTCACACAAGGGACTTTCAGACATGCCACACAACAATACAGTTTTTTGACACTCGCCTTAGGGCAAAAAGATCACCAGTTTGATGGTTTGATTCCAGGTCTTACTGTATCGAGTTTGCATCTTCTTCCTGTAAATGCATGTTTGTTTATCTTTAATGTTCAAAGGATTTTGGGTGTTTACCAGAATGTACCCCGACCTTTCTTGTTGACCTTTCTCATTGTCTGCTACAATTGGCTCCAACCACCCTATCACTCTCAAAAGAATTAAGCAGTACAAAATGGATACATTATAGATAGTATAAACTACAGTATAACAACACTGTATTACATTGACCTTAGTACAGTTTTTATATGTAATTCCACTTTACCATAAAGAAAAAGTATCCCTAAATAGAACAAGAATTTTTGAGCAATGATCATTGACGTCACAGTGTCGACCTTCTGAAACAACTGGACGTCTTTAATTTTCCCATTAGCCAGGATTATATTGGACGGTGTCTAAGTGTGATTATAATTACAACCATTCATTGTCAAAACCATCCGCGCTGTTGACAAAACCACGATGTCTTCTATTCTGGGAATGTACTTTATAACAACACTTTATTCTGATTTAGAGCCTGAAAGTGGACTTGGCCACATGCATTTCCTATATAAAATCTGCTCACATACAGAGGATTGCATAACTGGGTTTCACACTTAAGTCAATGAAGGCAAAACACTGAGCACGCCAGAGTAAACGCCGGTGACTCCGTAAAGCTCGGTTTGCTGTTTATCCGTGACGTCAAATCGTGAAAGTAATAGTATAGTTAATCATCTACGACGACTGTCAGCTAACTTGGCAAAATGACTGGTTAACAGTCACATGTTAGAGGTGACCATTCATCAAGTGGCTGCCTGTTCACTTCAACTCTTGTTCACCATAACGTATAATCAGCTGTGCTGGAAGGGTTTTCTATTTTTAAAGGTCGTTATCACTGCCGTTAAATTGTTATTGTATGAACAATTGTTTTTGTCCCATCATTCACTTAGAACCAACCATCTATTATTTGGTTCCTAATGACTTCAACCGTGCAGCTACAACACACAGCCACGTCAGAGCAAATTATAAGTTTGTTCAACCATTGCTGCCAAAGTCTTAGGTCCAGTTAATTATTCCTGACTTCTTCTGCCTGTCTCCCTTCTGCTTTCCCCAGACATGCCCAAGCCTCCGAGAGAGGACATTTATATGCTTCCAGATGAGTACAAGTTTATTCCCAGGAACAAAAGAGCAGTGCTGACGAAGAACCAGGCCAATCAGAAGCTGAACGTGGAGACTCTGGTGGTGGTGGACAGAAAGATGATGGATAACCACGGCCATGAGAACATAACCACATATGTTCTGACTGTGCTGAATATGGTGAGGGCCAGCTACAACTAATTAGTGATGTTTATCCAGTGTTTGTATGAAGAATGCCAAAGATAAACAGCGAGACAATTAGCCAGATCTCTTATACTGAGAGGAGGGGTTATTTTTAATGTCACCTTTTCCTTAAATATGAATCCTATTTATAGAAAAGTCGACCAATGACCTTAAAATGGAATAAACTAAAAAATCTATCATTTCGCGAACTTCTGATCTAACAGGTTGATACACAGGGGTTAGTCATACAGCAAGTTAACTGGTAACAGATTTGAATTTCAGAAGTGGCTTTTGAAGGCGTATTTGCAAAAGGCTTAGTCAGTCTTCTCAAGTGAGGATGGGTGGTGACTCACCAGTTTTGGCTGACCTTTATGATTTTTTACTTTTTTTTATTATAATTATTGTTAAAGACTTCTTTATGTAGTGCTGGATGATGGGTGATCCTTACCAGTCGCTACGTGCAAGCTTTGATGAAGCTTAAAAAAGTGAAAAAAAAAAAAAATGTCCGTGAGGGCCCGTAATGGAAACTGCTGCTAAATGTGCACGACATGTCAGCCCCTCGGCAGTTTTGGTACAGAGCTACTTACTAACTTACTACTTACCAACAATTGTGTCTTGTTAAATTGTATTACTGCATCCTGCAAATTCATTATGTAACACGGGCCTCAACTCATATAATTAATCTGTAATTTGACAGAAGTGATCTGTCTGAAATTCCATGTATTTTTCAACCAGAAATCTAAAGAAAAACGAACATCTGTTTAATCTTCACTGTAAACTCACCACAGATGGTCAACATGTGTTTTGTTGTACAAACAAAATACAGACAAACTGTAAAAATGAAAAATCTACTGGATGTCATTCTGCTATAAACTTTGAATTGTGTTGAAAAATATTTAATTACATATATAAAAAAAGTCAACAGTCAGATAGAAGTTAGTTGGTCACAAACACAACAGTTCTGTCTCGGTCTTTTTTCCTTGGTTTTTACCTCAATACAGTTTTTGGTTTTTATTGATTTTAGCAAGCGCACCACATTTTCTAAAAATGGAATTGATATATCTAACTTAAAAAAAAAACAATGTTTTTCCCAAACTGAAGGCTAAATTCAAATTTGTCCTTGTATGTTTTGGATTTCACGGCTGAAGGGTAACCCAGTCTGAGTGATAATCAATTAGTGCCACATATGAATTGAACTCTGCCCGCTGTCGTGTATACAGTGAGACCTAATCTAAAACCTGAAACTGATATCAGGGTGAGATCACTCCTGCAGCGTCTACAGTGACCTCAGCCCATTGCAGCCAATCCGTAAGCAAATTCCGTCATGCTTGTTGTGCTACTCAGTGACTGACTGACAAATCCAAAGATAATCCATCTATTTTGAAAACATGCTTCAGAAACCCGGCTGCCTCGGAGGAGTCACCTAAATACTGTATAAGGTTTCACAGAAAACCCACAAATCACTGCTCCACCCGCCAGATTCCACAAGTCTTTGTATGAATTCTTTGAATTCATTTTTTAAATTAAATCTGATATGTTGATATTTTCAATTTGTGCATCCTGACAGAGTCACGAAGGCTTGAAAACCACCTAATAAATTCAAATGTCTGCATAAGAGTGAAAATCCTTTTTAGCAGCAGTCTTTCACTACATGTTAGTTTTAGCTTTAGTGGTTTTGATTGTCTCTTTGACCCTTGAATCTGGCGTGAATTCTCTAACAAACTACAGCCGCGTGTCTTTTCGTGAGTCAGCGCGGAGCGAGACCAAACATCGGCAACATACGGATTGAATGAGAGTGTTGCTGAAGGAAAGGAAAGCTTAGTGAGTGGCACCTGAGTTATTCACAAGGCTCGAGAAAAGACGCAGAGTGAACAAGAGAAAGAAAAAAAAAAAGCTTCGGGGTCCACTTTCAAAGCCTCAAGTTGTTACGTGTGATGGTCGTATATCTGTGAGTTCGAGCAGCTGAATTGGAAACAGCAGCTGTGGCTGTTAGAGCGAGGACAGAGCGCTACGTCTTTGAAATCTACAGGAATGACAGGGTGGCCTGGATTCATGCTAAAGGCTTTCTTCTCTCAACTCACGGGAAAATGTTATTTAGAACAATATAATACTGACTATATACATGCAACACAAAGCACAACAGCCAACACTGGAGTGCTTCAGTTGCAGCTTTGAGATGTTTCACTTTTTTGTGCTTGCAAGGGTTAAAATGTTATAATGGGTGTACTAATAATCTAGACAAAAGATAAAACGTTGTAACCTTTTTGCAAATGTTATCTGTATCTAACATCCCACACTATTTTCCTTCACGTTTAGGCACAGTATTACACATATTGCATTTATTTATCTGTTTTAAATTCCATATATCCTATTATAGCTATGATTTTGGCAAGTCTCTAGCTATTTTTGGGTTATCTTTTGGTTTTCATAAAAACTGTCCCTGATGACATTACTGGCAGATTTTAATACTTTTTGACCAAATTTTCAATGTTTTTTTTTTTTTTATAACAACTCAGTTATAACTTTTTCACATTTTTCACCTTACCTTATTATGCTGAACTTCAGACAAGTCTTGTGCAAGGACACATTGGAATACGGCTAGCTTTAGTTTTTTTGTTTTTTTTTTAGTTTTTTTTTATTTCTACTGAATATTTGGAAATGGAAATTTGGCACTTTTGGCCAAGTTTCAGCAGTTTTATTTGCTACTTTTCTCAAACTACATTATTTTTGGATATCCTTCATCTGTTTATTATATCTAATTCTCAGCTGTCCTTAGCTACTGTTTATGTAAGCAGTAAATAAACAGCATCTATTAATGTCTGGGATACATTCAACACTTTTCAAACGTCATGCCCTACATGGTGATGGGAGTTCTTTGTTCGGTGGAACCCTAGCTGGAGTCAGTCTTTACTTACCTCAGCCATATAAATATGTAAAAAACATAACTCATCCCAAAAACATGTTTGACATCACATTATTGTTCAAACAAGACACAGATGTTCACAGTTGAGCCACAACATTAGTCAGTCAGCTGTCACTTTAATGCAAATTCTTTTTTTTTTTACGGTAAATTATGGGCTTGTACAAGGATAACATTTCTACAGTTCAAATGTTTTGGTTTTTTTTTTTTGTCAGGTGGTAATGTAAGTCTTTAATACAGCTACTTTATAGTCACCACCTAATTCTACAGGATAACAGTGAAGCAGGTCTGTTGAGTGGGATGGACAGGTTTCCGTAGCCAACATTTAAGGCCAATAACTGTTGTCATAGTCGCTTAATAAAACCGCTTTGACCGTAAAAGTAAGAAGTGACATTTTGACAAGACTGTGATGAATGGACCGCAAGGAAGGATATTAGCATGTATGTGGTAGCCTAGCAATCCATAACAGTGAATGTTTGTGTCCCTCCCAGGTCTCCAGTCTTTTCAAGGATGGGACAATAGGTGGGAACATCAACATCGTGATTGTAGGGCTGGTGCTTTTGGATGAAGACCAGGTGAGAGTTCAATTCTAATGTCTGCTGAAGGTTTATTACCGTCATCATATGACTATACTTATACTTTTAGACCTTGCTTTTACACATTAAGCTCTATTTGTAGTGACATAGTAAGACTAGGTTCAGAAACAGAAACTGTTAGCATAGCAACATTTTTTTCTGATTTGTCAATGGACCAAAATGTAAAAGGTTTTGGTTTGCATTTTGCAAGCTCCATCATTAAATACTTGTTGCATATGTTGGACTGTACAGTCCATAGAACAGATCCTGAATCCTTTCTCATCCTTTTTGCCTGCAAAAAAAAAATACTTGTCATTATTTTTTTCATAGCTGAATGTCCGTGTTCCTTATGAGATTTTTCAGAGTCATCCTAACTACAAAGAACTGTAACAGTGGTTAATTATAGGGGGCACATTTTTATAGTTGGGTTTTTGCCAGATTTAAGAAAGGAAATTATTTTAGCGAGCAGGAGATGAAGACAGCTCAAGCCAAGGAGTGAGGACTGAAGAAACAGGTGGGCTACTGTGAACGGAGACTCTGTCATACACACACGTCTTACACTCACAGTAATGAGAGTTTAGCAGTTTGTTGAATGTCATACACACACGTCTTACACTAACAGTAATGAGAGTTTAGCAGTTTGTTGTCGATGAAGTTAAAAACAGTTATAAAATAGCTGAAATCTACACACATTTAAAAAGAGACGGGATGATTAATGTGGTTTATTAACCCTCACTGAAGTCCACACTCTGTTCTCAGGGATTCTTTTATATTAAGACCACATTGTCCTTCCTTCCGCCTCCCTCTTATCTGACTTATCTCGCAGGACGGCTTGGCCATCAACCACCACGCAGACCACACACTGAACAGCTTCTGCCACTGGCAGTCGACTCTGGGAGGCAGAGAAGGACGCCGTCACGACCACGCCATCCTCCTGACAGGGCTCGACATCTGCTCCTGGAAGAACGAACCCTGTGACACCCTCGGTACGTCTTTATTGGCCTGTCCATCACTCCACAGCTCGTACAAAGGGTTCTGCTCTAATGAAATGCTGAAAAGGGGAAATTTGAGGCAGGCATTAGCAATCGCTCTGGTTCCAGAGCTGAATTAAATGTGACTGTGTATGATATCAGCTGTTAGGTCTGTTTCTCTCTCTGTGAGTCTGGTGCCGTTAATACAGATATGGTTGCTCTCCTCTGCTGTGTGTCACTCTGATGGGAAGATGCCTGTGTCCTCTGTCACACAGCGTGACCCGGGGTCACAACAGTCAAAACAGATGTTTGAAAGAGCCACAGCTTTCAGATCTTTATTTACTGTACCCTACAGACCGCATGTGTTGTAATGCAGAATATGTGAGGCTTCCCAGAGTCATCTACAGAATCATCAATTATAACCAGTAAAAAAAAAAAATTAAAAGTTTGAATGATTTATCTGAAAGTTTACCTCATGGCCAACAATCTGCATTTTATTAATGAAGATGCAAAGTTAAAGGCAATGATGACACCAGAGCAGATAACAAACAACTGTGTTTTTGATTATATTGCAGTGTGGAGTTCATCTATTGAACTCTAACAGACACCTTCAAACTGGTCTTTCACAACAGGACTTTGAAGTTGAAAAGTTAAGTCTAGGGTTGGAAAAGTGTGTGTCTTCCATGTGTGTGAGAGAGAGAGAGAGGGAAGGGAAGATGTTTTTTTTTTCTCACAGTGTGGAAGGCAGCAGTGTGTTGCACAGCTATTTTCACAAACAAGTGGTTGTTGGTTTGTTGTTTGTACTTCTGGCCTCTGACTTTAAAAAACAGCCAACACTTTGGGTTCGTGGTTCACTCAAGTCTGTGACTGAAACCAAACTTTAAGGAGAAATTGCATCTATTAAAAACAACCGAAACTAGGGAATTATTACACAGCTGAGATTGATTTTAGTGGACATGTGTTGTTTTATTTTTTCACTTTATTTTATTTATTATATTTTGGTATTTTCCATAAGGATACCAACTGGTTTTAGCATTAGATGAAATGTGGATGCAGTACAAAATTTACCTGAAGTTGCATTAAAATCTATGAGATTTTGCAGCTTCAATACAGCAAAAAAACAGTGGTATTATCTGGTTAATAAATGTGTTTCTGTTTGCACTCAACAGTCAAATATAGTCATTCTCATGGAGTAAATCAAATTCACAGTTTCTACAGTTACTACGTTAATAATGTCGGTGATGAACTTCTTCACTGACATGAAAAAAAATGAAGTACTCTCACTGAATGACAGTTCCCACAGTCAATCTCGCTGCTTGTGTTTAACATCATTACATACATTTGTAATGCACATGGGAGCGGAACTTTACACGTGATCGTAAATGACTTAAAGCTACAAACAGAAAACACAGGGATAAATTCTCCCCTCTCACACGCTGAGACGAAAACATTAAGGGAGGCCCCCTCCAGTATTATCTGGTTTGATTCAGAGCCAGGCGTGCTGTGTGTGAGTGTGAATGTGAGGAGAGACAGAATTAGAGTGGGGGGGTCCGGGGGGGGGGCTGCAGATGAATAGTAAAAGAGACTTTGGAAGAGCAGGAGACACAGAAAACATTCAAGGTAAAGAGGAGAGACGGAGCGGAAGGATGGAATTTTCCAAAGAACTTTGTGACATAAAATGTGGAGTGAGTTTTCTCCACTTCTGGCCTGACTTTCTATTTTTCTTGGTGGAGTTTTTCTTTTTTTTTTCCCCTAAATTAGATATCTGCTTCATATCCTAACACTGTCAACTTGGAAATGTAATAAAGACACAGATTATGTTGGACCTGATTGAATAAATACTTGCTCAACGTTATACTAAATTAAATAAAACTTGTGCTGGTTCATGTCGCAGGCTTTGCTCCAATTAGTGGGATGTGCAGCAAATACAGGAGCTGCACCGTTAATGAAGACACCGGCCTAGGCCTGGCGTTTACCATCGCCCACGAGTCGGGACACAAGTAAGAACCTTCACTGTTCTTAACCAAAAAACCAATGTGGAATCATACAGTGATGATAACGTAATCTTTTTTTTTTCTTGTTTCCTTAGTTTTGGAATGGTTCACGACGGAGAGGGTAACGTTTGTAAAAAGTCTGAGGGCAACATCATGTCTCCTACGTTAGCCGGACACAACGGTGTCTTCTCCTGGTCCGCCTGCAGCCGCCAGTACCTCAGCCGCTTCCTCAAGTAAGCGTCCTCTGGTCATTACTGTTACATAAAAGGTACTTACTCTCAACACTGACATTTATGGGCGACACTGCCTGAGGAGTTGTGTTTGGTTTTCAGGGGGGAAAAAAAAGAGTTACATCACATTCATATGGCATAAGGATAAATAATGTCAGATTTTTGTATGTGCTCTCTGAGCAAAAGTAAAAATTGCTGTGTCAGCTTGTAAAATAGAATTATTAGACCCAGAGCTGAATCCACATCTAAGAAAGTATTGACTCCCTATCATTCATCAAGGTGTACTGATGTATGACCAGGGGTTGGGGATACATGAACTTCAAAGGGTACAATGATGGTCCCTTGAGTTTTACATCACAAAATACTTCTATAATTACAGTACTCACCTCATTTCGTATTGAGCTAATATGCGAGAAATATATGTGGTTTTAGCTTTCTTTATTATTAGGTGTTTTAGAACGCTGCATTTGTGTGAGTGCGTTAACAGTGTGTGTCAAGCGTCATGTAAATTGATGTGTGCACGAAAGAATGCAATTTGTATTGTCATGCATGCGACCTGCTCGCTGAAGCATAAAAACAAGCATTACGAACATAGCGTCCATGGGTCTGGCCGTGTCTGTGTGTTAGTGTGTGTGTGCGTACGTGAAACCAGATAGCCCCGCCACTAAATTTACCAGTGTGTTAACTGAACTGTCAGGTACCTCCACCCGCCCCCCTCGCCTCACAGTGGTGGAGACAGACAGTGTATTTCCTCACTGAGTTATAAGAACTTGAGTGACCTCACCCTTGTTAAGGCTGTCAGCCTTATATTAAACTCCCATCAGCCCTCGAGGCCACGTGGAGGGGACCTCTGTAATGAACCGACCTCGGCTTGTCTTCCTACATAAACAGATTAAACAATGGCGATGACATTTCTATTAAAAGATTCACAAAAGACGAATGACAGAATCATCGACGGTATTGTAGTAAAAGGCATTTGATTGTCTTAAAAAATGAAGGATTTACTCAGTGGCGTATATCAGTCATGGCCTGAAGATGAATGGGTGTCAAAGCTTTTGCATTGAAATTAAACAGGACTTGAAACACCGCCGAAAGTGGAGAATAAATCAGCAGGTTCACACAGGTCTGGCGTTTCCACCAATGTCGATCAGGGCGAAAGTTGAAGGAAACCTGCCTGCAATGCAAATACTTGACCCTGGACTAAATTCCAATAAATCACATTCCTATTGGTCAAAAATCTGGTTGAACCCATGGATCCATGGAAATGCACTGCACTTTTTTTTCCTTAGAATTGCCTGAATCCTACAAAGGTAATGAGTTCTGACAGTTACACGTCCTTTGGTAAAATATTCCAGGTGGATGAGTTGCATATTTATGAGCATTTTGGTGAAAAAAGATTTAGTTCAAGCGTTCAATCTTGAGGCACACCATTCAAGACAAGAGCAGATTACTGTGGGAAGATTTCCCTGAGAATGTGTAAAAAAAAAAAAATCTGCCTCTTCGTCCACCAGCCTTTCTGATGTACCAGCTGATGTGTGTCGGTTCTAGATTATAAGTCATCCACAGACTCACTGTGATGTGGATAATTGAGGACAAGAGAATAGTGCACGTGCTGAACGGCCATTGTTAACCTCGGACACACAAGGCCCGTAAAGCAGTGGAAGATCACACCCCACACTCTGCTAAAGCAATCAGGAACACTTACTAACACGTTGAGCCATTCCAACATATTTCGCCTTTTCATGCTCTTTCCAGCATATTTCTGTATTATATTCCCCCTGCCTGCTGTGTTTAAGCGGTATAACATCTCTGTATAGTCACCAGTGATATCGGTTAACATTGGAAACCCCCCCGCTGGTGTGAGAATATGAGCAAAATGGGCAAAGATTGTTTTTATGTCGCTCATAATTGGCCGTCTGATGCATTTAAACCTTTGCTCTGAAGGGCTGAGTTTGGTGACTTACTGTGTCTCCATGGCAGCACATTATTCACTTTGCTTATGGTGGACTGGTGCACTGTGTTGCAGGGTTTTTTTGTGTGCACAGCAGGAAGCATTACACACCACCGACGTCATGTAAATGAAGCGTGGCATCAGATCAAGTTGGTTTGATCACTGCCCGCCACGTTGAGTGTTGCTTAAGTTGCATTTGTAACTGAGATTAATGTTACACCTTCAAACTGAGCTAAGTTTCAGAAAAGTTGGTACATCCTTTTACAGTTCAATCAACCTGAAACCCATAATAAAATAATGTACGTGAACTTTTATTCACACCACAAGAACTGTTTGGCTGTGTTTATTCTGTTTCCCAAAGACTGGGTGGGTCACAAGAGATTGTTTTTTGGGGATCGTCCCACATCATGTTTCCCAGGAGTTTTATTTTGGCTGTGTTTATTCTGTTTCCCAAAGACTGGGTGGGTCACAAGAGATTGTTTTTTGGGGATCGTCCCACATCATGTTTCCCAGGAGTTTACGAATGAATGTTGACTATTGACTTGGGTCGCGAAGGTTTGTGACTTAAAATATGGGTCCCCAGAAAAATGGTTTGGGAAGCACTGCCTTACCCATCTGACTTATACGCAGAAGGTCGTGGGTTCGAGCCCCAGCGGAACCATATACTTATGTGTGACACTTTGGATAAAAGTGTCCTGTACATGTAAAATTAAGTGTTCTAAAATGAGGCTTGAATATTTGTGTTACCACTTAAATTGACTCTACATCTGCTTTAGAGTTAACTGATTCACTTTACATCTGTCTCACCTTGTGTGTCTCTCCTCCAGTTCTGCCCAGGCCCTGTGCCTGTCAGACGAACCCAGAGCAGTCAAGGAGTATCCGTACCCTGAGAAACTGCCTGGGGAGCTGTACGACGCAGACACTCAGTGTAAATGGCAGTTTGGAGAGAAGGCCAAACTCTGCACCCTTGATTTTAAGAAGGTAAAGTCATTCTGGCTCAATTATGCCATGATCTGAGCTTTTATTAACAACTTAAAAATTCTTCGTCACCATCGGTTCAGGGGATTTTCTCACCAAAATTTCCCGATGGAAGCTGTTACCAAGGAATAACAAGGAAAGAATCTGAAAAAGGGATTTTATTTTCGGAAAATGAGGTAGAGGAAAATATGAAGATCAAAAGAAAGTAAGGAAGGAGAAACCGATTGAAGTTTGATGCCTTCGTGTGCGCACACAAACATACAGGTTTTGATCTCGCTTGCAACCGAACTCGCACAAAAATGCCTGAGACAGTTCTGCCCATGAAGAACTCACGGGATGACTATAAATATCCTGGAAAGACGCCGATGGGAATCTGTTCTTTTAGCTCTCTCATTGTCTATTTACTGCTGAGAAATGCTAATTATGAACCATTGTATTTTTGGTAACCATTGTATTTTTGGCATTGATGGTAACATTTTAATTGCTGCACTTGTTGTAGGCAGACAGTCGAGGTAATTCAACCCTCCTCACAAGTAAATAATTGATTACAATATTTATCAATACACTAGAAAATATATTTTAATTAGGACTATTACTAGGGATATTGTCTATAGCAAGTATCTACAAGTACAGTACATGTAGATACTTTAGTTTTTAAATAGCTTTTAAAAGAGTATTTGTCCTGGTCATTTCCAGGTTGGTTCTTTTCAACTATTCCTGTCGCCATCCTACATGTCGGCAGACATATCCTTCTTGTTCTTAAAACATAAAATACCTTTGTATTTCTAGATTTTCAAATTATATTTCAGATATATATCAGGACATGAGGTTCTATGAACTGCAGGTAATTTCTTTTCTTGGTCAACCGTCACAGTTAGCATCATGTTAGCCGTATGTTTGTCTTCTAGTGAGATTAGAATTTAAAATTTTAACAATAAACTTGTATTATTTAGAATAACAGGAAAATCTTAACTGCAGAGCTGACAAATGTTTTACAGTATTAAATATTGTGTGAGCCTGACGGTTTTTAAGAAAAATTGGGGATTTTGTTTCTTATTGTTTCTTATAGACTCGTGGTATTCTCGTTAGCATGCTCAACTAAACAACTTTCATGCTTTACGTCAACTATTTGGAAACCTGAGAGTACCTCCTTATGGTTCTGTTTTTGTGCACCTGGTAGCAGCAAGGTGCACACGGCCCAAAAATCCCCATACGGTTTTCATGCTCACTGTCTTCCAGACACTTGTTACTCATAAAAAGTATCACCCTCTGTTGTGCAGTGCACCGCATAATATAATCATATATCACGGAGCTATTTGACATGAATTATCAGGGAATGGCACCACAGGAAAAACCAGACGATACGCCCGATGGTCTTCGTATATGAGTCATTTTCCTTTTTTCTTTATCACTTTGTCCTGTCACAATTCGTCTTCATCTTCCATCATCCTTCTCCCTCTGAGATATTTACTGCTGGAGCAAGCAAAACAGCTGGAGAAATACTGCAGTCCTTGGGATGAATTCCATGCCGGCTTTTGGCAGCAGCAAAGTGAAATTTTTTTGTCTGCATCTGCACTGAGTTATCAAAATCTGATATAGTCATTCATATGGTAAAAGAAATGATAGAAATGAACAAAGTGGGCCAACTTTGTCAGGCAATGCCAGTGAGGAAACCACCCGGTGTTCCCGACTGAATGGTTTCCCAAATACTATTTAGAAAAGAATCATAAAGTCATTACAGGTTTGACGAGGCAGAGTCATCCTGATTCTTTCTTTCCTGATTATTATCTTTTCTCTCTCCCTAAGTGTTATCATCAATGTTGAGTTCAATTAAAAACACATCAATAATGAGGAGACATGGGCTGTCTAAGAAATGATGACCGGTTGTCTTTTCTCAGACAGAATCTCTTGTCTGCGACCTTGACGACACATGTTGAGAGACAAATGACAGTGCTGACTGAATTTATGGAGCTATTGAGTGCTGGCGAGTGACCATCCTTCTTCCAAAATGTGGAAAAAGCCAAAACAGGTTGCCATAAACCTTGCCCCCTTGACTCTCTCTCATCTCATTCCAGGATATCTGCAAGGCCCTGTGGTGTCATCGTGTTGGGAGGAAGTGCGAGACCAAATTCATGCCAGCTGCCGAAGGCTCAGCCTGCGGCCCTGATATGGTCAGCATACCTTATTTTATTTTTTTCTGTAAATATGTGCATTTTACTACAGGGACATTGTTGAGGTATTAATTAAAGTTGGTTGAGTGAAAGGCAGTTCAAGTCATAACAAAGGAGCCGACACAGTATTACTGCGTTTGTCGTATTTTGTTTGAAGATAGTAAAGTAGGGAGAGGGTGATGTTCCCAAAAGCTCTGTCACCTCAGGAGTGGAATCTCATGGCGTGAGAAACATTTCACTTTTATTGCGCTCTAATCTATCTTACCTCTGAGACAATTCCAGCAGGATTATGGAGATTTACGTCTTCATTCAGGATGTAATGAGTCCCCTTTTTAAATTTGCTATTCACTCAGTGGGTGTAGAGGTACCCTTTAATTTACTGCAGCATCATCAACACTTAGTCAGTTAAGGCTCGTTAAACTAAATCCTGCGTTCACATTTCAGGAATTCTTTCCCTGTTGTGTCAAATTAAGACGCAGTGTGCGGTGTCCGACAATCATTTACCTACATTTTGATGAAAAGAGTGGCAAAAGGAATTCACCAGTAAAGTGTGGATTTTTATGCTATGCCGTGACAGTCACAGTCACTCACATACTGCCTTGAATGTTTCAGTTTCAGTCCAGTTTTTTAAATGTTAGAGAAAACCAGCGTTTTTTGAAGAACATTCACACCCACACATGGAGAATACCTAAACTCCATACAAAAACACCATCATCTGTTGGGATTGAACTGGTGACCTTCTTGCTGTTAGACAAGAGCTCTAACTACTGCATCACCTTTTCAGGGTTATATGGCTCTATATTAATGTAATTCTTGTAATATTATACTTGTGATGCCAGTTTGTTTTTTTCTTTTCCATGACCCTGGACAAAACACACACAAAAAAGCAAGCCTTCACTAATGGTCTCCCCACATTATAAATAAGTGCTGGACCAGTGAATTCTTATGACCCGTGTAGCCAATGTAATGGAAGTCAGGATGAAAAATGCACCGAGAAAGTAAAGCCAATTTGCAGTACATTGACGCGATAGGTCAAGAGGTTAAATGAAGGGAGGTGTTTAATATAAAAACATTATTTATGGAGTGTTTTTCGTGTCATAAAGTGTTGAAGTCTCTGCCCACTACGGTGGAATGCCTTCAACTCGTACACCTCTCTGAATACATCGTCTGACCCGACGGTGTCAGCCTCTCCCACCACAGGCTAATAAAAGTGTTGTTAGGGGAAGTTAAAGGTTTGACTTTACTGCTTTTTAGATTTAGATAAATTTGAGTTCATTCAAGTACAGCATCCATTAAAAAATCTCCACTCTCTTCAGAGGTACCACAGTCTGCCTCCATTATTCCACCTCAGAGAGCAGCTGCTCTTGGTTTGTTGCTGACATGGCAAAAATACGCTATTGGGGCTGAAGCCAAAAAGCAATCTGGGCTCTTTATTTATACTTCGTTATTTTTTTTTCTACTATCCGGATGATTCTCCCCCAGGGTGCTTGCTCTGTCTCCCCTCCCCCCCCACCCCCCCCCCCCTCCTCCCTCCATTTCTTTTTCTCCCTGACAGCCAACTGTGGCATTAGCTTTTCACTATATTGAACTGGATGTTTTAATCCCACCCTCTCTCTCCATGGGACAATTAACAGAACACAAACAATGACAGACTCACTTAGGAATCTGTGGCACTCCGCCGCGAGGGGGAAAACTCCAGGGGAAATCAGCTGTTCGAGTCAAAAACCACAAGATTAGTTGGAGGTTTATGCATCTGTACGCGGGCTTGTGTGCAGGAATGAACACAGTGGGATCAAGAACAACTGAACATTTGCCCACTATCTGTGTGTATGTGTGTGTGTGTTTGTGTGTGTGTGTGTGTGGTCTTTTGTGCCTATAGTGGTGATATCATCTCAACACATTCAAATCCAGCTCCCTTCTCTGCCAGGAATAAGCTTGTGACACAATGTTTTTCAGGAGAGTTCAGATTTTTGCTTTGTCCAAAGTGCTGCGTCACTTATTTATGTAAAAAAAATGTGGTTGTTTAGTTCATGACGCAGTTTACTAAATGCAAACAATCCTAACATATTGTTTAATTTCATATTCATTTTTTTGACATGCCTGGTCCAGTTCCATCATGTGCTGATGGTTAGAAGACGCTCAGCTGGTCGAGCCGCCGCGTTCTCTTCCAGCCAAAGGCAGTTAACAGCAGTGAGATATTCCTTTTGAAAAACTACATTTAGGGGAAAAACATATTAAAAACCTTTCACACAATAAAAGCCAACGCAGAAACTTCGTATAAATACTACAACACAAGTCTTACTTACTGTAGTAAGACAGACACCCCACCCAGATAGCTGGTTTGGCCTGGAGAGATATCGCAATTTCTTGGCAGATATTGTCCTTCCAGCTCTGTATGTGTTTAGAAGAAAAGTATTTCTTTGTTTATTTGTGCTTTGTTGGCAACACAACCTAAACCTGCTTTAAGTTACTGTATATTAAAAGCTGCATCAGGAGAAGACCTCAGCTTCATGTACCGTACAGGACACTTTAAAAGAACGACAAGATCTAATCGTAATATTTTCACAAAGTAACCTTGACGTGGTTATTTCCATATTCACACTTCAGTTATGTTTGGCTTAACATTGTTAATTATGGCTGATGACAGCTCGGTCTACTGTCCAGAAAGGAGCGCACATTGATTTCTCTGAGGGAGTATGAATGTACTGTGGAACCACAGAGCATTTAAATGAGAAATCCAGTGGTTTCAACACGTAGCAATGTTGTTTAAGGTCACCAAGTATTGTCAGCACAGAAAATCTGAAAACATTTAGCTCCACGTCAACTGAGATGTTCTATTTGACCTCAATGTCTGCAAAAGGCAGCGTAGCCTTACAAAGTGATTCTATGGGACTGTTTTCACCTTTTGTTGTGCTCAAAATATAATATTACATCCAAAGCAACATTAATTATATCTTAATTTGAAATATATTGATCCCATATTTGGGAAATTCTTGAGTTAGCAGCAGATATGCTTTTAACAGGCTGCCCCCTGCAGGCACCAAGCATGTGGTTCCTCTGGGAATCGAACCCAGGATCTCTCTGCTTGCGAGGTGGTAGTGGATGGATAACATGTATTTAAAATATTTTGTAGCGTAATAAAAAATTAGCCAAAATCCGATTTTGCCTGACTGCGGTCACATCCAGTCAAAAACAGTTAGTCTGAAACTCCAATGTCTGCGTGAGCTTGGAGAAAAACACCTGCAGCATCTGGTGAGAGCGCCTCCACTCTGAACCAAATAAGGGTTTCACTGGGAAGCTATTTGCTCCCACAGCGATTGGACAAGCTGCACATGGCACCTGGCACTGACACTCGTTGCTGCTTCCTCCAGTTCATAAGCAGATCCCTGGACACGCCGGTCCAGATGGACTACTTCTCCTGGTGTCTGCACTGAGTCCTTTTTGTGACTGAGGTTTAGAAGGCAGCTGAGACTGCTATAAACCTAATTGATTTAGTCAGATTAGTGAGAGAGACAAAGGTATGTGTCTGCCCCTTCAGTCACGTTTCTATGTAGGATCACAACGATTCAGTTATTGTATGTCAGAAAATATCATTTGGGTATTTTATATATATGTCAGATCAGGCGCGTGTATAGAACGACAGTATTGATGGAACGTTAGTGTCTTGTTAGAAACTACTCAAAGTTACAACTTGTAATAATGGTTTTAACACAATAAAGGCCAAAGGCAGGTCTGCAACTATATCCACAATAGGAAAATAGTCATTATTGGACAGTGTCTTTTTCTGTGGCTTCCACTCCATAACCTCGGACAGCTGCACTTTATATTAAAACTCTGCAGTTGGTACTTCTGCTGCAGTTTGTCAGCCATCATGAAGGAGACAAAGAGCAGGATCTGCTGGAGACACTGCAGGTTAAACACACATTCAAATCCCAACATTAACTCTACCTTCCTTTCCTCTAGTGGTGTCGTAGGGGCCAGTGTGTGAAGCAGGGTGACGAAGGCCCACGGCCTCAGCACGGTCAGTGGTCCGAGTGGTCAACCTGGTCTACCTGCTCACGAAGCTGTGAGAGCGGCATCACCTACCGAGAGAGGCAGTGCAACAACCCCAGGTAGGGAAATTTGGAATTGTAAAAATTAACGACAGAAAAAAAGTTTTGACTTTTGTTTGTTGACGAAGACTTGGAGCCAGAAGCCAATGAGCATTTAGTCAAAGTCAGGCAAAATTCAGGGTTTTTTTGGGCTATTTTTGTAATCTCTTACATGAAGTATTAGCTTGAGTTTAGTAAAATTACCAATGAAAAGTTGGTATTTTATAGCAGATGTGCAGTTGTGTGTGTGAAACAAACATTATTATCTGCTCGTCCTTGACAAAAGTTCCGTTGCCCCACATGTACGTGAACAGGCTTAGCTGAGCACACAGCGTCTGTGTTAGCACTTTCCTGTGGTGCCATGCACTGTTTGTGTTGGCTTGACTCAAGGCCAAGATTATATCAAGACACATGATTAAAATAGTGCCGATCCATCACGTGGTTCTGTCACTTTGTCACTTATCAGCTATCAGCTTAGTCCCTTACTCATCAGTCACTTTGGATTATTTGCACTACCAGTCAGTCAAGGGGCCCCATCCCTAAATGCCGGGCCCCTCCTCTTTATCATGTCAGGCCAAGCTCCTGACAAGTGTTGGTCTAAATTAAACAGAGCACAATGTCGAGAAAGACGGGGAGATGAGGGAGGACGGATGGTGGGTGTGGGGTAAAGTCAGACAAAGAAGGGCCAGAGGAAAGAGAGAGGCAGTAGGGGGGAGGTGAATAGGGGTATAGAAGAGTTGACAGAGAAGGGATTAAAAAAGTGTGAGATGAAATGTAAAGATGTAAAGAGGGAGAATCCGAGAGGGAGAAATAGAGATAAGAAACAATGTGGTTGTAGGGGATTAAAGAGGGTGTAATTGTCCTGTGGAAGGCATTTTAAGTAACACAGCCTGGGGCTGTACACCTGTGATTGGAGAAACCTTCAAAAGACACGGCCTCATAGAGACCTGGCAGCAGAGTGGAGTCGTATGAACATAAAGGAAATCAGCCACATTCAGTCAAATATCTCACAGTGTTTTTCACGTGTGCTAATAAGTCATGTGCGTAGACCAATGTTGGGGTTGTTGCCTGTGAAAGCAGAAAAATAAACTGAATATTCAATAAAGCCGTAAAGTGTCTTCACAAGCCGATTAAATAACCTGAGCTGCTGTCGCTTAAGGTCATGATTTATTTTAATTTAATTTCCCTTTGATAAGATTTCAATTCAGTCAGTGTTTCTGTTGTCTCATAAACAACATGTTCATTCAGATGCTACTAATAATTTAACTCACCTTATTTCCTGTCAAATGTCAACACCTTTGGTCGTCTGAGGTTAAACCTTGTTTTGATTGTTATTTTAAAGAACATGTTTTTGGCATCCCCTTTCATCTACACTTACTGTGCAAACCATTATCACAAAAAAAATGTTCAGGGCCAAAAGACTGTATTTAAAAAATTAGGCTTAAAAAAAAGTACAACAGTACAGTAAGCTTCACAAATGCTGACAGAAACTGAACCGTCGTGTATTTCTTCAGGCCTGCGTATGGTGGGAAGTTCTGTGAAGGCTCTTCCAGGTCATACAAACTGTGCAACACTGATCCCTGTCCTCCCGGCTCCGTGGACTACAGAGCACAGCAGTGTGCCGAATTCAACGGCAAACAGTTCAGAGGCTGGTACTACACCTGGAGACCGTACACGAGAGTGGAGGGTAAGAACACTTGGTTCGATTGGGTGGAGGAAGCCAAAAAAAATAAGGGTTCACTTTCACACCAGACTTTACCCCAAGTTAGCATTGAGGAAGAAGATAAATCCATGTTATTGAGTGGCCAGAGTCAAAAACAGAATTCCATCCAGCACAGACAGTCCTCTGATCATACATCAATTCACGCCTGCACCTACCCTCGTCTTCATATCTTTCCATGAGAATTTTTTTTCAACCTTTTTTTTTACTTTAAATGCACGGTGCTTCCTTACTTTAGTTCACTTCCTGTCTTTGGTTCACTGGATAGTCCTTTTGCATTAACCACTTTAAACAAATCACCCCACGGTTTTCTTTGCAAACCGAATGAGACCCATGTTTTCAGGTAGAGAACAGTTCACTTGTTTGGTCCACATCGTTTGGCGATGAACCGTCATACTTACCAAAATGAAAAGGACTATCCAACAAAACACGGGCTAGACCAAGCGTGTGCTCATACTCTGGTGTGAAACTGCCCGAAGACAACCTGCAACCACAGATAATTTCATCAAAACCCAGTTTCCGCAAAACAAACCCTTGACCGCAAGCAAAAACACGACCTTCTTGGTGGCGGTAAATATTTAGGGTGGTGTAAAATAACAAAAGCCAATGTTTAAAGTTGAGGACTTTAGAATAAACATTCTGCCTGTGGCTACTGTGGATATTTTCTTTTCTTACAGATCAAGATGTTTGTAAGCTGTACTGCTTCGCTGAAGGTTATGATTTCTTCTTTGCCTTGGCCAGCAAAGTTAGGGATGGAACCCTGTGTTCCCAGGACAGCAGCAACGTCTGCATTGATGGACTGTGTGAGGTACGAGTTGAAAGCGGAGAAGCAGAGCTTTTGGAAGTGTGTGAAGTTTGCCCTGGATGTTTTTCAAGATGATTTCATGTGTCGGATCTTTGAAGCACAGCTATAAATCTTGAGAATAGTTGTAGCACTGGAGAACATCAATAGACACCCTTGTTGTGCTGTTTCTCATTGGCTTCAAATGCAGTAAAAGAAAAATAAAAAAAAAACGCTGACCTGTCAGTGCAAAAAGAGATAATTGATGGTAGATTTAAGCTGTTTTCATTTATTACAAGGATTTTGAAGTTGCGTTTAATGTTTGCATTTAAAGGCGTTGATGTCTTCTCTTCACATTCAGAGAGTGGGCTGTGACCATGTGCTGGGCTCCACGGCGGTGCCTGACGCTTGTGGGGTTTGTAAAGGAGACAACTCCACCTGTAAGATCTACAAAGGACAGTACACCAAGCAACATTACACCAACCGTAAGCTGTATTTATTTGATAGTTCAGTTTATTGGTTTCTATAATGTGGCCTACGGCAGTGTAGTAAAAGTGACTTCTTTGAAGATATTTTTTCCCTCAGAAATGTCTTGCAGGTAAAATGTGGGAAAGTTCCATTTTTTTATGGGTGTTTTAAAGAATGTGCTCCTTTAATATTTTTATTTGGTTTGTTCCCTCTTGGCTGAATTATATCCAGTCTGGTTTTGTTTTGTAATTTTAATTGTTTGTTTTCCTTGTGTGTCTTGTAAATTCTATTTTCTTTTAACTAAATTGTTATCTTATGTGTAGTATTTTTATTAGACAAAACGTTTTCCTTTAGGTTTTTTGTTGGCAATCTAGGCTTAAGTAAAATTTATTTTATTTTGTTATTTGTTTTCATTTTTTTACCAATACATTTTTTTAAATGTTACAGATACTCTTTTACATGACTTATATTTTTTCCACCTTAAGCTTTGTTTGTTTTTCTGAGTCTAAAACTAAGTGTATGTACTGTTATTTTTTTAGTAGTTTATATATGTAAATCTAAGTACTTATTTCAGTGTCTGGTGGTATTCTTTCATATCTTTCTTAGAGTACCACGGGGTAGTAACGATCCCAGCAGGGGCTCAAAGTATCCGTGTAGTTGAGTTGAACACTTCCAGCTCTTACCTGGCTGTAAGGGACACCCAGAGACGCTACTACCTGAATGGACACTGGACTGTGGACTGGCCAGGCCGACACCCAATTGCTGGTGCCGTATTTGAATACAAAAGACCTTATAACAGGCCAGAGAGTCTTTTCTCGACTGGTCCCACCAATGAGACGCTGGTCGTAGAAGTAAGTCAGGACTAAAAATGTAGACTTTGGCTACAGTACATCACAACTCACATGAAAGTGAACTGTTCTTCTTGGTTATGATTTAATGCCTAATAATTGTGTCAAATCTTGCTGTGTAGATACTGTTGCAGGGCTGGAACCCTGGTGTCCGTTGGGAATACACTCTGAAGAAAGCTGATGAGAAAAAGAATTCTAACAAACATCATTACTCCTGGGCCATCATACGCTCCCAGTGCTCAGCGACATGTGGAGGAGGTATATTATTATTTTCAAAGTGCAAAACAAAGTTACAGTGCAGTTGAACTTCATCACAGTGCTGTCGTTGCTGCCACATCACATGTTCAGCACAGATTTGTAACTGTCAGACTCCCTTTGTGTCTGCTTTGGATTGGTTTTCAAAATATATTGCTCTAATGAAAAAGAGGCAGTTCGCCCCAGACTGAGACTGATGGGAGATGAATGGATGAGCATCTGAAGCTAAGCCCGGCCTTTCTAATCTGTAATGGAGGCTTTGGCTGCAGGTTAAATGGAGAGAGAGCAGCGTTCCCATCATTAGCGAAGGGGCATTAGTAGCTCTTGTTTCTCTTCTTCTTTCTACTGGAGGCCTGCTATTACACACACACACACACACACACACACATGTGCAAAGGCTATTACACTTACCGAAGTAGTCCCTTACATGGTGATTTGAGGGCAGAGGTTAGAAGATAAAGGTGTGCCTGTGTGTGTGTGTGTTTGTGTGTAAGCATTTGCTTGGCTTTATGAGTGTGAACAAAGCCCCCAGTGTGAAGATCCGGCTGATTGACCCCCTAGGTTAAAGTTCCCCACCCTGGTCTGTGGTGATCCACCCTAATCGCCACCGCCTCTTTGTGTCCTGATTGTAGGCCATGATGAGCTGGGAGTCATTTGCTTTATTAAAGAGTGTGACTGACTAACTGACCTGTATGAGTGGAGATGTGCAGATTGACCTCGCCTGAGGTTAAATACCACTGTGAGTGTCTGTGAACCGGGGCTCAGGTTTCATATAGATTCAAATAAATACTAACACTATTAGAATTACTACACACTCAGTATTCAGATCCATACAAACCCAAGGTTTTTGGGTTTTTGTTTTTTCATTATTAGCCTTGGCCTTTGAGTATAATGAATGTATTGTGACCCCTACAGGCCAGATGAACACCAGACCAGCCTGTTACAAAGACTTGAGAGTCCAAGTAAACACAACGTACTGCAATCCCAGATCAAGACCAGCTACTGGACCCACGCCATGCAATACACAACCTTGCCCTGCCAGGTCAGACTCTTATGCTTTTCATATGTATTTGCTGTGCATGCTGGGAATAACATTACCAAGTGTTCTTGCGGGGAATGCCTTTGAACCCACTGTGAATCTATTGTTGAGCTCTGAGCAGAATCACCAGACTGAGAAAACATAAAAATAGAATTTACAGCTCTGAGAGTTGTGATTTGCCATGTTGACATATTTAAAGATTTTTAAATAATTTATCTCAATCTGAAGATAATTAAAATCTGTTTGAAATCTGCAGACATTTCGTCATTCAATATGTCAATAGTAAAAAAAGAAAAAAGGAAAATGATCTGATTGGAAAAGCTGTAAAAAGTATTTCAGGTTAGGAGTCATAAGGGCTCTGTCTCTGTTTTACTAATTCTGTGGAGTCCTTCGTCTTCCTGTCTCAGTCCCCTCCACCTCTCCACTCGTCCGGGCTGCCATATGTTATTAGTCAACGACACCTTCATATCTGTTCTGTCATTTCATAACATGTAACCACCAAAAGGAGCTGTTTATTAGTTGAGTCAGCTCCTCCAAACTTCCCACACTCTCTACACATAATACAGTGACTAGAGGCTGTCATGTGGCATTACCGTCAGTTTATTCTCCAGCTTCCACCCTCTCCCAGACCAGTGAAGCACCTGTTTTACTATGATGACATTTTCATCTTTCGTGAATAAAGAATTTCCATTTCATTCCAGGCCTGCACAGACAGAGGGAAGACAGGGGAAGTTTCGCTTGTTATTCTGTTAAATGTCTTCATCCAGTTTAGAATAATTTCCCTCAAAATGTCAGAAACTGTTAGCTTCTGCGTTAGTTTATAACGACAGGCCAAGAATTCCTCGATCTTCAAACTCGTAGCATCTCCGCGGAACAAAGTTTATGATAAAGCTCCATTTCTCTGGCAGTGCTAGGATGCACAAAGGTCTTCTCAACTCGAGCTCCTTACTTCAGATGTCGCTGGGCAACAAGTATGTTGAAAGATTATTAGGCGTCTTTATCTTGGTTCCTTTCCAAACACAGTGATTTCTAAGGACATATTGTGCTGCAATTGGTCATTGGAGAAAAATATGAGATACAGTTTCATTTGGGAAACAGAAAAAATAATGAGAAATAAGAAATGTTATTATGGGTCGAGGTTCAATTTGGGTCACAGTGGCCAAGTGGGATTGTCATGATGTTGTACAATATCACCGCTGTCACTCCATAATCTATGACGACACCAGGAAAAGTGAGAGCAAAGCTCACTAATGGTCCTGTGGTTTCGAGGCAGGGTTGTGTAGGATTTTTTGGCTCAGTTCAGGAGGTTCAGTCCTTGTCTGTAAACCCCTGACACTCAGGGCCAGGGCAAAGGATGAAAGATTAGTCAACATGGTCCAACACTGTGGACACCATGAGCAACAGTTTTCCCACTGAGAGACAGAACATACACAAACACACTTTCACTAAGAAAAGCCAACAGGGTATTGATCCTCCCCTGTCACTGGTGCTCTGGAGATTGTCATATAACTTAGTCACATAAGGCCAGAAAGTCACTGATACTTTTTTTTTAATTACAATAAATGTTCAAGCACATGTTTTTTCTGTTGGAGCCAGATGTTCATTATATGCACAGGATATAGGAGAGTGAAATGAGTGCAGTGACAGAAGGCATTGTTGTGTTTCAGAGCTGTTGTGGTACTTTTCTTGAGATGATTTTCTGCAACTACAGCTGCATTCCTATTTCAGAAATGTTATGCAACCAGAATGTCTCTGGTTTGAATCAGTAAACTGGAATAATACATTTGGTGCATATCTAGTCTGGATAATAATTCTGAACATCTTCCTGTAACAGACCATTCGTCTGTATCAACTTTTCTGCTATGCACCTGGGGTTAGGGATCTTTCTGATGAGCAGATTGGTATGATAACTAGTTGTACCTGGAATCGAACCCCTCGACCTTTGAGCTGGATATTGACTTGTTCAGGAGCTGATCCACAGTCATCGGCATGAGGACTTTTGCAAGAAAAGGTCACTGTGCACCAACAGAAGAAGGTCCTAGCCTTTATAATGTACAGTTATAAATATCACTCACAGATAAAAAAAAGAGAAATCATCTTAACACATTTGACAGCTGCTGATTAGGTGAGAATTCTAACGTCTCTCATTTTTGAATTCCCATGTATGTATTATGAGTGATGGTCGAAAGGATCTGCCATATTCTTGGACACCGCTCGCTGCTGAGAAGCTGTTTCTTGTGCAGAGTAGAATTTTGCTGAGACACTGACCTCATACCGGATTAGCGTTACATGTGCTGGATGTCTTAATGCGACTTTTTCTCCGGTGTATAAAACTGTTTTATTATGCCGTAGCTAAGCCAAAACCAATGAAATGCTTCATGAGCTGCTGTTATTTGATATGTGAAGGTCATGGGTGACACAGGCTCAATTACACCTGTGCACAGTTTTGTTGCTGAAGATAAAGGGACTTAAATGTAAATGTATAGATTGTCGCTGAAGTGGCAAGATACGCACATGCACACATGAGCACACATAAGTCAGTGGTGTCGGGTTACTGTGAAGCTGACTCCCACCCAGGCTTCCTCAGCCGCTCATCAACACAGTCTTGAGTGACCCTACAGCATCCCACCCTGAGATCAGTGCAGTCAAACGTCCAAAATCTTTCGGTCCAGATGTTCGTTAAAGGGCATTTATATTCGAACTGTGCTCCTCAATCCTCTTTCCTCCTGCTCATGAAGTCATGCCTCTCTTAATAGGCATTCTATTGGAAAAGGCTTTCTCAGGGAAACAGTATTTACGGACCGTCAGTATTCTGTAATAGGTGCTGAAATCATTGAACCCCAGTAACGTACAGTTTATCTCATGTTTTATAGAAACCAACAGCTGCTTAAGGCGGATTTCTTTCCTAAAAGTGTCAGTCGCTGAATATTTCTCTCTTGCTTGGTTTGTGTATGTCTCTACTTTGGAATAGGTATCCTAGGAAAATTTTGCCAATGACCACAGAGCTGTCTCAAATTCCCAGGCAAGATGGTGTTGACAGAAAACACACATGTAAAGCCTTCAGAAATTGAGGCAATATCCCCCGACGCTCTGTGAGCAAAGATGGTCGAAGATAATTAAAGTGACTGCAGTTTATTTTCTCATTCTGTGTGTGATCATTGGTTGTGTTAGAATGTTATAATGATTCTTTGTTTTCACTTTTCATATCCTGCAAAGCTGGTACCAGTAGCACACTGGGGGGGCTTCACAATGAGTCAGTTAGCGCTAACTGTATTTTCTAGATATTCCACAATGGTCCAAAACACCAAAACAAAGCCATGCTGCTTATGCTACATCTAGGTCACAGGCCACCAAGGGAACTGCAGTCTATACTGTTCAATAATATAATAGTGTGTGTTATATTCAGGGATGGCTCGATGTGATACTCTATGTCGGTATGAGTCCGATACTGCTAAAACTTTCTGGATCGAACATTGGAGAACAGCTATGTTTCATCTGATCTGATACTTATGCCCAAATCCTCAACTTAACTTTTCGCTACATGTCGTAAACAGGAACACAGAAAAGAAGGTACCGGTAGATAATACTCCAAGTTGTAGTATCATTATCAGTAAATTATACTTTTGGTAAATGTCTATTCTTTTTATATTACAATGGATCCTTGTAGTCCTTCAAACGATAACAGTGAATTCCTTCGTGTTGTTCTCTGTGATAACAGCCCAAACAATTGATGTTTTTTGTGGATATTTACGAGGTGTGATTACACTGTCATTATCTTGTAGACAGAGACAGCGACGGCCTCAATTGTATGTATTTACTTTAGCGGTTTAGTGCTTACTCATCTTTAATACTGAAGAGATGTGTCACTTCTTCGATCCCTTCTACACATTAACACACAAATATTTTGCCGTGTGGTGAAAACATCTTTGTCCTTACATAGTCTTTTCTTCTCTGGGTCAGAATGAGGCTTCATCACTCGTTTTTAAAAGTTGACATCAAGGGGAACTCCGTAACCTACAAACTGATTTTTCTATATAATTTTGTCTCACTGTCTGTTTGTGTCTCTGTCTAACCCTCCGAGAAACGGGTCACTTATGTAACCTTCCTGTCTTTACATTCACAGACATACAGTACAGCTGCAGAGGAGGAGCAGGTTAGGGTGATAGATCCCTTCACTACACAGTCCTTTCACATGTGTGGCTTCAGACACAGCCTAATGGCCCAAACACTTTGATGTGATGTCTCTTTGTGTCTTTGACCTGTCCAGCCCTGCCCCCCGCCCCCCAGCCCCTCACAATCACTCACACAAACACAAACCAAGCAGCTCGCCAGTTTGCTGTCATTCAGTCTAAGCTGCTTTCTGCCTGCAGCACTTTTATCTCCCAGCAGGGATTTATGTGGCATTATGACAAACATACACAGACTCCTTGGCTGCTTGTGTCTGTCTGTCTACTACAGTGTCTGGAGCTTTTAAAAGTAAATTATAAATATGGCCACACTTATATTCACCCATCTTTTGGTTATTACATCCGACCCCCCCCCCCAAACACACTCTCCCTGCTCTTTCTAGTAGTTATCTTACAAGCTGTCATCCCCCTTTTACATTTCTCACCACTGTGATGTCGTCTCATCTCGTCTCTTCCCTTCCTGCCTCTCTCACACTCTGCCATTACAAAGTTACACACACACGCACTTATCAACATTCACTTACAAATGGCTTTGTGTGTTTACACGTAGTTGAGGAAGGAGTGATAATAGTGGCTGTAAAGTCATCTCACAGTTGTTTACACTCATCCCTCTGGCCTTCCTCCCTCACTACAGCTGGTGCTGCTAAAGTGAAACGTGTGATTGTGTGTGTGTATGTGTGGAGGGAGGGAGGGTGAAAGGGAGCCTTCTCTCGCTCTCTCTACCCCTCCTCACCCACATTCTGTCTGTAAAAGTCAATTTTAAATTCATTTTAGTTTTCAGTCTTGATGACCTCTTAATACAACATAGAGTGGTACGACCCACCTTTAATATCCACTGACAAGCTCCAGCTCCAGTTAACACACATACAGATGTATGATAACAGCAGCCACTGCCTGTCAATGTTTAACAAGAAATCTTTTATGTTTTGGGGACCTTCACTTTCCCTGTTCAAGCGTTCATAGAGCCAAGTCAGTTTGGTCTTAAAGACACATGACCCATGTCATAGAAGGCCGCCTGAGAAATATGTAGTTGTTACAGGCAGCGTGACACAGCCCGGTTATGAGAAAGTTGAGCAAATTAACTTGGAACTCTCTCTGCAGCTGTACAGGATGGACAGTTTATAGTCACTGACAGCAGACCGGGATAAAAAGTCCACACTTCATCACCAATAACACTCCAGGAATCAATAACACCCTGTGATTCTGGACTGACAGGCAGGATTTGCCAAATTAGCTGATGTTTCCATGGGAAAATGGTCATGGTCTAGGACATGTGGTGGAGAGGTGTCTCTGTCCAACGTCTCTACATCCCAATGATCCTCGGACTAAAGTGGTCAACATCGGTGAAGGATGGCTCACAGATGGAGGTTTTTGCAGCTGGCACCCAGGCACTAGTGGAGAGGTCTCATGGTGAAATGCTCTGCAGGTTCAATGCAAACCTGTCTCATAATAAATCTATGTGAACAGTCATGTAACGTATTCTTTATGAATACCTCCTTTGTGTACATAAATGAGTTAAAGGATGGAGGGGTTAGTTTTATTTATAGAGTTTTATTGATTCATTCATTGTCAGTGAATGAATGAAATCATGTGGTGCTGACGAAATTCCTAGGAATTTCCCTCCATCAGCAAACGTGCAGCCATCATTTTATCCAACTTCAGTGTCTATTAGACCTCTCTGTGCATAAACTGTGACTCGACACAAACACGTGGTGAGACAACAACCAGATATGCGTGCTAGGCCAGACAGACCGGCTGTGGTCACTGGTCCGTCTCTTTTGGAGTCCCACTATTTGGAGGCCACGCAGTTATTTCATTTTGCTGTGTCTGCATGCACCAAGGTGGAGCAGACAGGCATAACATCATGGAAAAAAATCTGTTTGATGCTTGTTCACATTTAAACTATGATATCAGTCTGTCTGCCTGAAAGGCTGTACGCTAATCTAAGCACAGAAATACCCGGTCGCAGACATGCAAAAACACTCGCAGTCATAAACACTGGTCATAGGTCATTAAATGGCCCACGCAGAGTAACCAGACAGTGTCTTTTGATGGCAGAGGTCTATCTGACACTCAGGACATCTGATCCCATCTGCTTCTGTCCAAAGCGTATGACGCTTACTCATCCACCGACATCACTTACCGACGGCAGCCAAGGTGGAGATCACATGGTGGTTTATACTTTGACGGCCCTTTAATCAGTATATTTAATTTCAGCTAGGTCGTTACTGTGATAAATTGGTGCAACGAGTAAATGGCTTTCAGTGAATCTCTAACGTGTTAAGTTTATCGTTTACCACATTACGATCGCATGCGTTGCAGGTCAGATGACTATACTTAACATTTCTGAGCAAAACAGCACATGTGGTGTAAGTGAGCCAGAATAAGACCTCACGAAGTACCGAAGTAGACTGATGAGTGCACATACTTGGTGAATACTTTGAGGGGTATATCATGTAAACATGGTTTCAAGAATTTTCCAAATATGGGATCAATAAAGTTCACATTTTTTTGAATATTAACAACAAAATGGCATTTGCAGCTCATGCCAAAAATTTTAGGGTTGGACGTAAAGTTGGCTACAAATACATATAAACTACAAAAATACATAGAGAGTATACTCCAATATTTGTATGTTTTAGGTTAACTATCCACACCTTTGGGGTATCAAGATTATATGGGAAAGTAGCATCCACCAAAGGGTTAGCCTTTTCAAACAAAAATGGTTTATAGTTCACAAGAAAATTGTTTTTTGGTGCACATTAGCAAAAAAACACACCATTATTTAGATCACACCACATGCGGCCCTCGGGTCGCTATGTGAACAGGTCGGCCTCAGGCAACAACTGCCGTGTACAGTAACAGTGATGGACAAGGCCTCGTGAATGGCTTGGAATTACTTAAGGAAATAATCGTGACCCGACACAGTCTGCCTCTTTATCAGACATACAGTACGTCTGAAAAGCTGTCCTCTCCAGAGCATCTATTTTGTGCAGCAAGTCCACGGACGTCTCCGTGCTGACATCATAATCTTCAAACTGGACCAGTACTTTAGGGTGATTATAGAGAGGAAGATACGTTTACGTGACGAAGGATGGAAACTGAGCCGATGGCACCGTTGAGTTTAGGGTCAGATGCAGAAAGCAGAGAGGACGAGAAAGGAATAGGAGATTAGGGGATTAGGGTGTGTAGGGTGTGAAGCGTGTAGGGTCGAGAAAAGCACTAAAAAATATAGCTTGCTTTGAGAATTAGAGTGTGTTAGAAATACCTTTACACAGGACAGGGTTCTTAGTTTACAGTGTGAGTTTGTACAAAACAGACTGAAGTCATTATAAATAAAGTTAACTTTTATAATCCATGGCAGCTATGTTTAGACGGGAGGGGACTTTAAATGATGCAGCCGGGTTTCAATTACAGCTGGGTGTTTAAAGGGTTGTGACTCCAGAGCCAGTCAGCTGTGGAAAGAAAAAAAAAAGTCTGAACCCTGCAACAATGTCTGATGCATGATATATGAACACTGTTGTTTAGGGTAATGCTGAGTCTATTAATACGGATAATAACTATTTATTTTTGTTTCCATGAGAGTGTGTTTCTATTTTGGAGCAGCTGCTTCTACTTTGAAACAAATACTCAGCTACAGGGGGAAAAAACTGCACTGTCAGTTAAAAGCAAAGGTGACTTAATTGCCAAACAGGGCGTCTTCTGCAGCTGCTTTTACTGTATAGTTATCATGTCATTGGCAAGTTCCCGTGGGCTTGTCTGGATAAGTGATTGAGGACCTGTGCACATTGACTCAGCAGCCCCTTTGTTGTGTTTTTCCAGCTGGTCTGTAGGGGAGTGGGGGGGGTGTAGCCGAGGCTGTGGAGGAGGAGAGCAGATTCGGCAGGTCCAGTGTGTCCAGAGAATCAGCCAGGTCAACGCAGACGTCCTGTCTGACTCTCAGTGTTCCCAGCCCGCCCCAGCCAGGAGACAGGCATGCAACACACAAAGCTGTCCCCCAGTTTGGACCGCAGGGCCGTGGTCGCAGGTGAGATTGGATAAAAAGGGAGCTGACCTAAATGGAGGGGAATTTGAAGTGATTAACACAAATGTGTAAAGGACTAAAACATTTATCAAACACCAAGAAACGAGCTGCAACTCGGCTCCTAACAATGTTGCGAAGTGAGCCTCAGAGCCTTGATGGCTTCACCACATTTTATGGCTGTGATCCCAGGGCCTTTGAAAACATGAATGTGCCCAGTGAACCTTCTCATGTTTTATTCTCGGGCAAATTCCTATACATTTATTCTTAATGTTAAACCATTTCACTCCAAATTGCTCCTAACTACCTGTCACAGACAGTGTCCGGTTCAGTTCTTCTCGGGGGACTTGCACAGAAAGCCCCCAGTTTGTTGGATAAAATAAAAAATTTTAAGGACTTTAATTTAGGCTGTGCCATACGGTGTGTGCATCAGATCAAATTGAACATTTTGGGAAATGTTGCTCAATCTCACATGAGTTATTTAGGAAATGAAGTACAAAAAAAGTCACAGTGGCACACAGGGCTTGTTCCAGTCTTTGGCCTGCAGTCATTCTGATCAATCATTTCATGGTTATGAGAAAAGGGTACGGTAAAATGATTGCTGTACTAAAAGAATGCTGCAGAAATAACCTCATATAATAATATTTCATATATATACTGTATTACTGTGTTAGCTAAGGCTGTCAAAATGAATGCTTTTATTGGGTTAATTATTTAATGACATTAATTTGTTAAAAAGAGAATGGCTAATATTTCCACCATCCATTGACTCAGTGTTACTCTGATAATACTGTAGATAATAAGATAATAAGACTAGAACTACTAGAATGATGTTGTTGAGGACAAGGTCAACTCTTGATGAGTTCTACAGGTCACAATAAATGAACAATAATGACTAAAGACCACAAACTCAAAGACTCTAAAATTGAAGTTTATAGCCTTGTCTATTTTTCTAGACATTTATCCATATTTTTTAGTCATATAGGAATATTGATTGATCTTGAGTAATCATGAATCATAGCTACCCTGTTATTTATCATCTCAAAACATGCATCTGGATGTAAATCCTAGAAACATTTTGAAATGTGGACAATCCTAACAGTTCATAGCAGACTTTCCATTTTGAAAAATATCACATGGTGTTTCCTTCATGATGTGGAAATAACGATATCAATGATTATATTACTCTGATTCGGCAGTGTTCTCGCAAATGTGGCACCGGAGTCAAGAAGAGGACAGTGCTGTGTACGAGCACAGACCCTGGAGTTCAGACACGGACACTTCCAGACAGTGTGTGTGCAGGTCTACCAAAGCCCGCCAGTCAGGAATCCTGCTTCATTAAACGTTGCCAAAAGCAGCGAAAGGTCCAGTGGTTTGTCTCCACATGGCAAGAGGTAACTCAGAACCATTAAAACAAAAAAAGTATTTAAAAGAAAGACAAAGTACTAGTCATACAGGGTATTCTGGGATCAAATATTAAGTTTTTCTTCCATCAATTTCAGTGTTCTGTAACCTGTGGTCGGGGCCACCAGGCACGCTTCATCAAATGTGCAGAGAAGGTCAGTAATGTTTGTTTGTGATAACTCTCAGTTCTATATATTCACCATTTTAGTGTGGGTCAAAACTAACATACATGTGTATATTCACACTCTACTACGTAGGACACTGCAGGGAAATACAGAGAGCTGGCTGCCAAGAAGTGCCACCATGTCCCTAAGCCCACGGTGGACCTCCAAAGACCCTGCATACTGGCTGAGTGCCCTGTCCGTACGACAGCACCGGTCCACAGGTGGAACATGCGTCATCGCACTAGTCCAGCTCAGCCTCCCCCTCGAGCAGAATGGCAGCAGTCACCTTGGTCTCAGGTGAGGTGGAAAACAGACTAGGATATTCTGACTTGGGGTGTAGAAATCACTGGATTTTTGACAAATTTCATAGAGGAAAAAGGTCAAGTAAATTATCAGTAAATCCACGGTACATCAATTCTAAATGTAAAAAATTGTGAATGTCTGCTAAATGTTTTGTAATGTAATGTAAATGTGTGGAGAGACTGATGAACACATATTAGTCACAATTATGAGATCCACTTTGAAAAACTCTTTATACAAATACTTGGTGGTATTTATTGTTTTTAATCACGAAGACCTTGTTTGTGTACTCTCCAGTGCACCGTGACATGTGGTGGAGGAGTCCAGGCCAGGACAGTCCAGTGTTTGTCTCAGGGGAAGCCGGCTGCAGGCTGTCCACTCCATCTCAAACCCACGGTGTCTCAGGCCTGCAACACCAACTTCTGCACACCGTCTGAGAAGAAAGGTATTAGACAGAATGTTTTTTTGTTTTGTTTTTTTTTTTTAATTTTTTGCACTTCTCTTTGTATCTGAAATAAACACACCCAATTGCACAATTTTCCTTCTCTCCTCTTCACAGATACTGCATGTAGAGATTACTTCAGCTGGTGTTACTTGGTGCCCCAGCATGGAGTCTGCAACCACAAGTTCTATGGCAAGCAGTGCTGCCATTCCTGTTCAAACTCAAATCTATAGTCATACAAACCAACTGTTTCTGCGTCACTGATGGAGCAGTAGTTTGAAAAAAAACAAAACAAAAAACAACTATATTCAACGTCCACGCTTTGAAAAGACTGTATTGTCTTAAGCGTGTGGCGAGCACTGAAACACAGAGGACATTTCAGTGGAAGTGCAGTTGCAGTGCCCTTTCTTCTCCCTGGGATGCCGGACATCTGGATGCAAGAACTCGATGCTGTCAGCACAACACATGAGTGTGATCAGCGTGGTACAATGAAAGGAGGAATTGTGAGGAGAAACTTGCAAAATGGTCATCTTGATTAAAATGAATAGGACTTTTGAATAGAACTTAAAAGAAACTGAAAACCCTGAGATTTGTTGTTATAACATCCAAGGCAGTGAACATCTTACCAGCAACAAAAGCCCAACGATGGCAAACCAACAGAGAAATATGTCTGATGAGGTTTTAAGGACTGATGTGCAACGAAGCGTGATAGGTCTTGGTGTTCACTGCTACTTTGGAGCTGTGGATTCTGATCGTAACAAAGGGATATTTCAAAGAAACACGTACAAAAAAAAACCTTTGCTTTTATTTTAAAGATTGATTAAAACAAAAGGACTGGCTGTGATTAATCCATGCAGGTTGGTTGATTAGCCGAGAAGAAACGAGAGAAGTAGTCTGCAGTTGGTTTTAGCTGTGTAGACTGGTTTTTGTACTCAGTGGTGCTACAATGTTGTATTTCGTCACCAATTTAATGTGAACTTTCAGGACAGTTTCAGAGGGAACTGAATTGTGTGACCCATGTACATTAATGTATGTTTTATTTATTGGCTTTACAATACAGCATTGCTGGAAAACTGTATTAATGAGCAGTATAAATATGTCCTTTTATTACTCTACCTGAGGCCCATTACCCTTATATTTTGTATTGTTTCATAGGATTTAATGCTGACAAACTGCACCTTTTTTTTTACTCAAATATTTGTCTGTTTTTGTACAAAACATGTATGTGTTGTCAAATACTCAGTTCAAACAATGGCTCAACTCATGTGATCATTTTACAGCAGCTGCCAAGTGAAAATATGTCAATGTCATAAGGTACAGTCCACAGTTTTAGACGCCTGGCCTATTTTGTGATTCACAGTGTTCTGCGTCATGTATTGCATGCATTAATATGGCACTAAAGTAATGCATTTTTATCACCTATTGGTAAAAAGCACTGACGAGTGATGGATAAAGGAATTTCAAAGTGACTTTTTCAATGTAAATCAAACAATAAAGACATTTGTGTCAGCTGTAGATGAAAGTTTGAGATTTAGAAAAATTACACATCTAACTAAAACCAGACTTTCTAAAGAGCTGTTTAAATTCCATGCAGCGGACATCATAGCATTAATGCTAAATTAGCACTAGCAGCACTTAGCTGCACCCCAACGGTTTTGTAGGCTACGACCAGATGTAGAAGCTGTTGTTAATCACTGTCGTTTTTCATTAAATAATCCCACAACATCAACAAATAACATTTTAATAGACTATAGAGACCATTATCGTGATCTATGGTAGCAGAGTTGGACATACTTAGCTGTTTGCAGAGAACTAGTGACAGGAGGAGACGTAGCTCCAAGTGCTACCTTAACTATTCCCTTCTTGCAGTTGTTTTGTCCCATTTATTAGTAATAATTTCAGTGTTTTTTACGTTATAGGAAAACAAATTTATATTTTACTAAATAAATGGAATTTGTGTGTACAAAGAATGTCATGATGCACTACAGCAGGAAAATGCACCAAAACAATACATGTACATTGATATATTTACACATACAGTACATTCTTGCCTCAAATAAACTTAAAAACGTGTTTTGCAGTAAAACAAGGCGTTCTAACATTTCAGGTTTTTTTGGTTCATAAATACAAAAATGAGCTAAGCTAATTCTGCTAACAACAGGGTATGTTTTCTTTGGGACAGTTACACAAAGTACAGTATGTGATTCAACAGGTTTAACAATGTCAAACAGCTTTTTTTCTTCATTATAAATGTGTACAGTAGCAGGACCACAGTACTTCAAAGTACACTGAACTACTGCCATCATTTACTGTAAATTATATAATTATAAGAATGTCTCTTTTGGCTTTAGACCGTGTTGTCAGTAAGATCCAGCATCCAAGCTAGCAGCCTGGCAGCACAGCGTGGTATTAGACATTTCAACACCTGTGATATATTGTGTTTGGGCTTGACTCATTTCTCAACAAGTCATGGAGACACTGATGCCCCAAACAAAATCACTATTGTCATCATTTCCCAAACAGAGACCCTCAGCCCTAACACTGAGAGGACGAGAGGAGAATAAGAGAGGGGGGAGGAAAAGAGAGGGGGTAAAGCTGGGTATCTGGTATTTGGTGCTGTCAAAGAAAAATGCAGAGAGAAATACAGTGTGTGAGCCAGAGGGAGAGGTGGGTATGGAGTCAAAAAAGGGGTTTTCCTCCTTGTCAACTGCTTCTCTGAGTATGATTCATAGCCGGTCAGCTGCAGGCACTGCATCCGACTGGGTATCTGTAGGCTGCGCATACAGTACACATACAGTACACATACAGTACAATATGTCTACACAGTGTTCACAGAGCAGAGGTTCATTGTCCAGTTGTCAGAGTTTGCTGACAAAACACACAGAAAAAAAGAGAGATCGAGAGAGTGAGCATCAGATTATATTAAGTTTTGTCACTTCTGGAATGTACCGTCCTCGGCCACTTTGCACCCAATAATGTTGAAACTCAATCATGAGAAAAGAGCAGGAGAGGGGAGAGTCTTGTGTCTGTTGTGCACAGCTGCTCACAAGACCTTCCATTAGAAGAAAATGGGAATAGGAGTATGAATGAGTTATTGTTGATACAGTGATAAAGATCAGCGACGGGGCTTCCTGCAGATAAGAGGAGTGATCAAGACAAATTCTGCAACAGTGTTAAGTGTTACTTAGCCCATGTCAGCTAACAGAGGGATTATCATTCAGATAGAGACAGATAAAGAAAAGCATATACAACAGCACTCTTACCACTTTAAAGAAACTATGCTATCTCTGACTGCATCTGTTTGGGGGGAGGTGACTTGTCAGCCCTGGGGCTACAATCTCAGAGTTCACCTGAAGTTACAGGATTATTACCTTTCCATCAAGGAAAAAAACCTCCCAATTTGTCCCAGCATTTGATGTATCTGCTTCTACTTCAGAACAGATGTCCATATTTCTTTTTAATTCAAGGACACTGTGTACTGTTTGTGTACCATTCTGACTGTTCAGACTAGAATTGTCATTGATAATTCTGAAGGTTCTGGTCAATAACACTCATATTCATTTTTATCTGCTGTGTTTTACACTATCTAAATATAGTTTAAAATAAATGTATGTATGTCAAGAGTTTCATGAACAACAGGAAGCTTGTTTACATCTGTAAACACTTGAGAAAAGTGCTGGGTACTTTTCTTTTCAGTGCGTAAATTAAACCATAACCGCTTTAAATGATTGTCAAGGGATTTTATTATTAAATTAGAAGTCACGGTTTCATCTATTGACTTTTATTCAAACCAAGTACTTTCTGTGCAAACCAGTTTGCCCCTTGGTGGTTACCTAATACCTCTATTTGACTTCTAAAAATAGGTGAGGGAGAAAGATAACAAAGATAACAAAAATCGTGTTCCCTGACCGGGAATCGAACCCGGGCCGCGGCGGTGAGAGCGCCGAATCCTAACCACTAGACCACCAGGGAAGGATAGCGTGTACGATACAGCTTAAGTTTATGTACTTAATGGTTTTCAATTAGGTTCACAGAAGGAGTAAATTGATGTTAGCATATGTCGGTACTGAGGTGTTTGATTCTACTAACGGGTAGCCAACAAGTAACTTATTTTTTTAATGTATTCGTTTATTAGGGAAAATCAAACAATATCGAGAAAATGGAAAATAATACAACTAAGAAAATAACATAAAAGAATTAACCATGATAACAAGGGGTGCTTGAATAGCAAAACAATAAAGATAAATAATTAAAATTGATAGGTCAGTTCCATCTGTGTACTTAGTCGTCACCGTCACTAGAGGACGACAGTGCTCATTGTCGAAAGCTGGGTCTTGGCTTCGTTAGTAAATGCCCGATATAAATACCAACGACAAGAAACCTTCGTGTGAGGCGTTTAAAAAAATGACCGCACCATGCATGTTTTAAATTTCAGTATTAAAAGATATTCCATTAGTTGTATTCCAATAATATAAGATAATGCCGTGTTTATAACATTATTAATAACAGGCACATCACGAATCTCCTCTTCTGGGGTCCTGACATGGGTCTTTGACAAACGTGGGAGACGCGAAAATGTTGTTTTGATTCCGTCTGTGTACTTGTTTGACAGTAAAATGACAGATAGATTTTGTGTGTGAAAAGGAACCTTATAGTGGAAGAGGATTACTTTTACCATGATGCCCGGGGACAACCAGTCCAAAACGGTGGCAATAGCTGCCGACGCCACCGTTGGGAACTGTCAAAACTGTTCCGTTTTGCATCAGGTCAGATCATGTTGCTGTGACAGACTGATAATACTGGTTGTGCCGAATATTGAGAATTGATTTCCATAACTATGGAATTTTGTTTTGTCCTTACTCACATTACAGACCGTGACCGAATATGTGTCTTCATTTCTTGCACTGAAACAGGAAATAGCGGGATCCCAGTGAGTATATATTATTTATTTATTTTATTATTTACGGAGATAGAAAGTTGTTTTCAGTCAGTCGGAAACAAATTGACTTTTTTTAAAAAATAGCTGTTAAGTCGGAGTTGCAGCTTATTGCACTCTTGTTATGTTAAAGTAAAACAAAAAGGTTGAGGTCTGTCCTTTAGCCCTGGACATAACATCTTGATCAATAATGATTATAGTCACAATGTTGTCATTTTTTCTGTGTGCTATTGTTCTTGTGGGAATTTCTTTTACACACATTCACGCTTTAATTTTAATTTTTTTGCAGTGACACAGTCAGACTACAGCAGCAAGTGGAGGAACTGCAGGTTAAACTGGTTACTCTGGAGAAAAAGACTTGTGATTATGACTCAGTCAAGGCTGAACTTGAGGAAAAGAAGGTGTGTGTTTTCCCTGAAGTAATTCTGATCAATTCATCATTCTGCATGAAAATGTGTTGAACTGTTACTTTTGTTGAACTTAAATGTTAAACATCTGAATCTATTATCTGTAGAATGCTGTTAGGGCCTGTGAGCAAATGTCAGAGGAAATAAAGAAACTGAAGCAGGAAAACAGCAGGGCAACAGCAGAGTAAGACAAATACTTGTACAGATAACACTTGATACACATTTTATTAGTGATGTAGTTGTAACTTTTTTGCTTTGTATCCCACAGCAATGAAAACCTGGAAAAGCAACTAAAAGATATGAAAGGTACTTTGGTAAAATGAATTTACTGTGATGTAAAAATGCAAACATTATAAAATGTTTACCTTAAAAAAAAGTAAACCCCATCTGTCTCTATCTTAGAAATAACTGAAAAACAGTCACTGGACAACATGCAGCTGAAAAGGGACAAGGCAGCAGTAGAAAATGAGTTGTTGGAAACACAGGTCAGTGTCAACAACATATCCCTTTATGTGACTTTGATGTAATAGACTGTAGAAATAAATGATGTCTGTTTTCCTCATCAGGTGACACTGACTAAATCTCGAGCAGAAGCACTTCGAGTTGAACAACTGATCGATGAAAAGGCCAAGATTATTCAAACGTAAGACACCGGCTTGTATTCCACACCACTGCACTCTGTGTCACATCAGCTATTTGTAACCATGTGTATGTATTTTCTTTTACCAACAGGAAGGAAATCCTCAAAAACCAAGTCAGTTTGTTGGAAGGTCAGTTCAGAAACATACTGTACGACACAATGATGGATTTATCTTTGGTCATTGACTAAAAATGTTTTTATTCATGCGTCTGTTATTATTTCAGACTCGGTTTGCAAAAAGAACCATCAAATATCCCAATTGGTCTCAGAAAAGGGTTTCTGTGAGAGAAACATGCACGATCTCCAGGTGCAGGATTTAAATACACAGAAATTAAATTATTTTCTTTTTTTAATGTTAATAATAATGTTGAATTAAATTGAGTTGTTATATTTTCAGGTGAGATTGCTGAAACTAGAAAGAGAAAGAAATAAAGGTAAAAAAACATTTTTAATATTTTTAATATCTTTAAATCATACTGACAACCATCCTCACTTGAAGTTAATAATATAAATCATCCTCATTTGGTTTGGTTGGTTGCATTAGTAAATTTTTTTGTCTTGTTATTTTTAAAATTGTCTTCTGAATATAAATTATGAATTCTTTTTGTTTTTCAAAAGAATACAGGAGCATATCAACCCAAGCAAAAGCACCAGAGGAGCCCAAGGTTGACCATGGTATGATATCACTAGTATAACGTATAGTTTGAGGAGTAATCTGCAGTACAAGCAATAATGGCAGAAGTCATTCCTAATCAATGTAATGTTTGCAATACTTAAATACTTTTGCTTTTTTTTGTTTTGTTTTGTTTTCTTGCTTTTTTTTTTTTAAGAAAAAGTCAGAACCCTCCTTGAGGAACTGTGGACATGTGTAGACATCTATGGGCAGCACTCCAAAAACCAGCACCTTTCAAATGTTGACACGTCATTAAGTGAGTGAACTTTGCTCTGATTGTAAATTAATTAAAGTCAATTGTGTCTGTGTTTCATTATTATTAACAATATCTCACCCAAAACTCTAATTTCAGACCCCAACTCTAGCTCCAACTCCAGCCTACTTTTACCCTCCCTTGCCAGAAACGGAGTGTGCGCCCATTTGAGAGAAGACAACATGGAATCTCATATCTATGAAGTTAAAAAAAAGACTGATTATCCACAGATGAAAATGTCTCCACCTTCACAAAAAGCAGTCAAGCTCCAAGTTTCTCTTCAGGCCCTCGATACCAGGAAGAAGAAAGCCAACGTAGCTTCTCCCAAAAATACCAAGTCATTGTCCACGGATCATAGAGCCACGGATTCATCTACTGATCCTGAAATGTCTAAAGTGTCTGTGGAGGAGATAATGAAAATGTTCAGACCGTTGCCTCCTTGCATGTCACCACTGCCATACGAGGTAAGGGTGTTTGCACAAATGCAAACACCAAAATTGATAGAATCTTACAGTTTTTATATTTAATTAAAAGAAAATCCAGTATATCTGGGGTTTCTTTTATCATGGAGACTTGGGATATAAAAGATAAACTTTTGCTTCATTTTTAAAAACCCGATTTCAAAAATACCCCAGTCATTTCGACATCCCTCCTACGCAGCCAGACAAGTTTAAGTTGCGATGCTTCCGTTGTAATAACATAGTGGGGTTGCTTTGGTTATGTCACCATCTAGTGGTACGTTTAGGTAATATCTTTTTTCAGGCTTTACAGTGTTACATGCTAATCCACAGTAAAAACACTAACAAAGAAATCCCTCGGTAGTTAACGGTAAAGTATTAGATACTTCTTAGCACAGTGTATCACATTTTATTAAAACATTAAATAAGTTGTTAGTTGTTGAACATGTTTGTCTTCTTCTTGTTTCCAGGACACAGAGACAGAACCTATGGAGACTGAAGATGAAAAAACTGAAATTCACCCACAACCTTTGAACGACTTGACCGATCAGCAAGTGCCATTGACCAAAACACTGTCTTCAAGTACTTGTCATAACCTTTCATCACCGGTGGAGAAGACGACAGTGACAACACTCGATGTGACTCACCCTTCTTCAGAAAATGACCCCAAAGAATTGGGACAAAATGAGTGGACAAAAACTGTTGAAACAAAACAGAGGACGGAAGGGAAAGATGCTCCAAAAGACATGTTCACAGAGCAGGGAGCAGCATCACCATCATCATCATCTCCTCCATCAGATAATTCACATTTGGTTGTTTCAGTAACTGGTGAAGAAAATCCTGTCACCAGTCTCTCCAGCAGTAAAACTGAAAGTCCCTTACGAAGATCAGAAAATCAGTCAGAGACTCCCACGAAAATGGATGTTGACGGACGCGTTGGTTTCACCAGTGACAAATCCGTTTCTCCTGAAGCAGGAGACGGCGGAGTCTCAGTACAAGCTGGTGACGTGCTTCCAAACTCTCCTCCAACTTTTCCCGACCCTGTGGCAAACACTAAAGTTCCGAGCACAGTCAACAATTCTGATGTTGAAAAAACTCAACAGGACACTTTTGTGGATGAATTTGTCCCAATGCCACAACAGAATGGAATTTCTCCAGGCAAGCAGAGTGGTGAGCCACAAGAGGGCGACATTTGTATGTCAGGCAGAAGTACCTCCAATAAAACTGTTAAAAAGATTAATGAAAGCAAAGGATCTGAGGTAGAAAATAGTCACGAGGTACAAAGATCTATAAAAGGTCAGAGGTCATCACCTTCCTTAGAATCACACAACACCACTGGACCACAGAGCCCTCCAACAATTTTACAGTTGAATGTAAATGATGATGGGGGCCAGGAATCCGAACAAGCTGCATTCAGGACTACTTCAGACCACAACCTAAAGCTTGAACACAAGTCTGCACTGACTATTTCCGAGGAGACTTACAGTCTTGACTATAAATCCTTGGCAGAGAATACACACACTGCGTGCAGACGGTTCAGTCCTGTGTGTCTGTTCCCCTCAGTAAAGGTACAGAGTTTAGAAGCTTGCGTTGATGAAGGGAAATCACAACTGACTGTTGGAAATACCAGCATTAGAACACATAAGAAACTGCTGCGGTCTGTAGCTCATTCAGAGCAGAACGGTGTTGACGATGACCCCCAAGAGAACAGATCTAGTCTTCAAACTAGTTCTTCCTCGTTGACACAGCACACAGTTATCACAAATGGACTACGTCAATGTTTGGAGCCAAGTACTGGAGAGAGTGGAGGTCCGCAGCTGACGGAGACGGCAGCAGCCTCACCTACGCTCTCACCTCAGCCAGTGCAGTGCTTAGGTGATCTTCGCTCTAAAATGGGACCCCCACTCCCTCCTCTCCTGACCCCCCTGAGCACACCTCCAAAACATGGGAAGTCCATCAGTCCGTGTCAAGCTATCGGGAAACTCTCATTTCCCTCCCCCCTGGACAGAGCGGCTTCTCCTCACACTCCCGTCAGTGCCCACGTGACATCCTCCAAACATCCACTGAACTCTTTAAACAGCCCGTTGCGGTCAAACGGAGTCCTATCCTCACCTCTTCAGTTCGGCTCGGCCACGCCCAAACACGCCGTGCCCGTCCCAGGTCGCCTGCCAGTAACAGCCAAGAATGCCTCCCCCTCCTCGTCCTCCAGTCCTTCTCAGGAGAACTCCATGAGGATCCTGGACACCATGTACCCAGAGATGTCCGCCCGAGCTAGGACTCTGAGCATTCTCAGAGGGAACGTTAACTTGAGCATTTGCACGTCGGACAGTGGGACGTTGCCTACCACTGCTGACAGTCAAGTGTCCGGTTTCAAGTCCATCAACTCCACCTCAACAGCCTTCACCAAAACCGAGGGCAAAGGCGAAAAAAGGCCAGCGGCCAGTCTGCTGCAGCCGCAAAACAACAAATGCAGACGACTCGACGACTGCTCCGACACCAACAGTGAAACACAGATGGCTTCCTGCTCGTCCAGCAACGCACAGGAAACGGCCTCATCCAAAACAGTCTTTACACCACCAGAACATCCCTCCAGTTCCATGGGGAGTGGAGAACAAGAGGAGAAGAATCCTGTCACCGAGGCTCTGGAGAAAATACAGCACAAGTGCTTTGATTTGTTGCCTGTGGTCCAGAGTCATGTGTGGGTGAAAAACCTGCCTAAGAAGCCGGTGATGAGGGAGGAGGAGAAGGACGTTGTCTCCGATGTTGGTCATGGCTCCAGGGTGAGTAACCAGCTTCTTATAATAATAATAACAAATAATACAAATAACTTTTAGTTCAGTTCTTAACACCTTTTTCATTGTGGCTCTAACATCATTAAAACAACACTGGCTTTAATTGATTTAATCATCAGCCAGTCAGTCATGTCAAATATATTTGTGATTTGTCAGCTTGCAGCAGACGACATGATGTCTGCCATACTTAACAAACTGAAGGCAGAAAAAAACAGCCTCAGCAGTGATTACACACAGGCTCTCTGCAGAGTCTACACTGCCCTCTGCAGGCAGAGAAGCTTATGGGAGCAGGCCCGCGTCTTTGCCTACTGCATTCTGACAGAAGGTGAGTCATTTATCATCCATTCTCTTATAATGTACACATCTTTAAAATACCCACCCATTCATTATCACAGCGTAGTGTACTGTAAGAGTAATATGTATTTTTTTATACCATCCTTCCTGCTGCAGATTTTCCCGATGCTGCCAAGTTGATTCTATTTATGGCAACAACATGGCCCAGTGTTTTCTCACAGAGCAGTCCTTTGTGCCAGGCCATTCACATCGTCACTAAACTGAAAGCCAACGACGAGCTCCTCACCTGCCTGACAGCCTTTCTTGGCTGGGAAAAGGTATTTCAGCATTTAGAGTCTACATCAGCTGCCATTGCTGAGGCCGTATTGTATGGACATGCTATAGTTGTTCTCCTGAAATTATGACCAAAGTCAGATTGATACCAATCATGAGTATCGGATGGAAGCATCCCTAGTATTAACTCAGCCTCATCTTCCAGTCATTTGCTCATATGGTTTGTGTCTTACATCTGTATCTCTGCAGATGCCGCCATGTGACATTGATCACCTGATCTCCAGACTACTGTCTGAACTTCGTACAGGTTCAGGTCTGGTTCTTACAGAACACAATCGATACGGCTATGACCTGGGACCTCACGCTTGGGAGCACGTCTTCACACTGCACCTCCTCTGTATGCATAAGAAGTGGAAGTGGACATATGAACATGTCCTGGGGTCAGTGAATTCTCTGATGTTCAGTGTTTGAAATTGTCAGTCATAGAATATAGAGGTAGAATTGTGTTTTTCAATTGTAATTATTTTATTTTTATTTTTTTATTTTTTACCTTGTTCAGGAAAGAGCTGTGGCCATTGATGAACTCGTGGATGACGCAGCCACGAGATCGACAGACGCCAGTTTCTGATGTAACTGTGGCGACTGTGCTCCGACTTATAGGTGAGTATATTATTAACTTCGGTGATGGAGACAATGTGATTTGTATCTTAAAAAGAACCTCAAATCAAGAGAACTATTGTGTTGTTGACTTTAACAGGATGCCTGGGTCAAATGGGAATGAAAGAAAAATGTGTGTCCTCGGTGGTCACCGTCGCCTCTGTCATCAATGCTTTTGGCAGACACGGACTGTCTGAAGGTAAGGATTATGGGAAGTGTTGGACGATGCAGACCATTCATTTTTGGTGTCCTGACATCTTTATGTTTTTAAAAACCTGTCTTACATTCAACCAAATTCTATACTGCCTTTTTCCTGCTGTGTAAAATAATGTTCCCATCTTTGTTTTCAGATGCATTGATGTTTATATTTGTGGATATACTTTCACCAGCGTATATACACAAATACTGGATGTTATCTTTAGCTTTTACTCTACAGCAGTGGTTCTCAGTTATTTTCTGTCATTCCACCCCATTAAATATTTTCTAAGAGGAAGCAACAAACAATCTTTTATTTTTCTTTTGAAACTGTGCCAATTCACCCAAAGACACAATTTTCAGAATTGGCCAAGTAAGGAAAAAAATCATCTGACTGCATTAATCCTCTTGTCCTCTCTCATCAGGTGTACCCTGGGAGGTCCAGTTAGCAGCTATCTACTGTATCTATGAACTGTCTCCCTGCAACCCCAAACAGGCCATGGAAGCGTTGGCGGGGTGGAGAGAAGACACGTCTCAGAGAGTTCCTCCTGCAGTCACCAGCTGCATTAACCAGTTAGCGTCAGTATGCAGACAAGTCAAGAGCTGATATTGACACGGACTCTAGAACGTTATGTTAATGTGGACTGAAAAATAAAGTACCAATCATGTATTTTAAGATTTTTATTACTTCACATCAATCATTAACTAAGCTGTAACTTTCTTCATGCTTCAAAGTTTGACATTTGATGTCGTTATATTCACCAATTTATGCAAGAGCTTAATTTGAGCAGGTGTTTTATTTTTGTTACAAACATGTTCCATTACAAGGCTGTAAAAATATGTAAAATTTCTATTTGAGATCATGTGTGTGCTGTTGTAAATGTCTTCTGTTTTGTTGTAAATTAGGTGTTTAAAGTTTGAAATAATTTTGTACAGTGTAGAGATTCAGAAGATATTAATTATTTTTCAATATTAAAAAGACTTTGTATTGGACCAAACAAACAGTTCTGGTGCACTCTGAGCATCAATCTTTGCAACACAAACCTTTATCTGCAGAAATTGGAGTGTTCTGTTAGAAAACAGACTGTGTGTAGGAGCCCCTTCTCCCCTGCAGGGGTTGCCATTAGGTTGGAATGACTTAATTCATGAGCGTAGTGCACCTGATGACAGATCTAGTAATCACTAGCAGGACTGGAGGGTACACCATGACAATAAAACAGACCTTATTTTGAACAAACAATACATATGAAACATGAACGCATATCTTCTACATTGTTCCTGTAAACTGACTTAAATACGCTATTAGCAGATTTAAGATACATTACTACCACCTATCGGATCTATGCATTATCCAAAAATAAAAACTAAAAGCAGCGTCACTGTGAATTAAGCCCACTAATACGCACGTCAAATTATAAAGGTCACTGTGAATTAAGTCCACTAATACGCACGTCAAATTATAAAGAATGCAATTTAAATGATTCGACAAACCCAGAATACTGTCCCTTTAAAGACTTGTAGTGTAGATAATGTCTGTAAAATCAAATCCGTGCATTAACTGCTCAGTTGACATAGTACGGATTATAGTAATTTGTCAAACACATTCGTTTGTATTTTATAAAAAACTCCTATAAAACTAATCGTGACCCGGTCTTCTGTCAAATTACCAATCTTCTACCTGTTAATTGATTCAAAAACACTTTGGACGTGCATTCAAAATAAAAGCTCGTCTGAATTTGAATTTTAAAACATCGGCATTTTAAACCACTATGACAAAAAGATGAATTTGAAATGCTACTGCTATTTGTTATTTTAAATAATTTGTTTGCATTTGGCATAAATGTTTTTGCTGCCTTGTTTGAGTTTAGTTCGTTGTTGAATTAGTCGCAAATGTAAAAATAACTTCCGGTTATTCTGAACTACGAGCAGTTTGATACTCGCTTGACGTCGCTCCGGGTTGAGGGGTGTGTTCGTAGCAGATTTAAATCCCTCTGACATGCGCAGATGCTTATCCGTGCTGTTGGGTGCGCCATATTTGCTGACTTACATGGGGAGTGGAGTTGGACAAGCTGCCGTAAAATTCTAACCAGTCTCCGGACATGAAGTGCTTCGAGGATAACGAGTAAATCGACGGGGTAGGATTTATTTGTTATCTCGGTTGCGGGGTTTTTAAATTGCCAAATCGCTTGCCAATTCTCCCGTGAAGAGGCTCTCTCTGAACTCGAGTCCAATGGATCCCAGGACCGCTTGGATTCAGCCAGAGCAGAAGGGACCTGCCAATTCCCTGTGGATGCACATTTGGGAAACGTCTCAGGGATTTGGAGCAAACTCCCACATCGACAACCACCTTCACCTCCAACGCAACTTCGCTGTGCATAATTCAAATTCCGCGGACTCACACGGCGAGTATTACAAGAATGTAACGCCGCCGCCTCCGGCGGTCGTATTTGAGAAATTAGCGAAGCGAGGCGGCGGCGGAGACAGGGGAAGTGTCCGGAGAAAGGGCTCGCTGTCGCCGTCCTCCTCCTCCCTGGACTCGGAGGCCGAGAGCTCGTCGCCCTCCGGCTCCTCTCTGCAGATCGACAATTTGAACGTCGCAGAGGAGGCCAGCCGTTTTTTACACTACAGCGAGCACGAGTTGAACGGGAACAATTTGAGGCGGCAGTACCCCCCTCCACCTTTTCACGGCGTTCAGCAACACTGTCGCAGCATGCAACAGTCCAGCGGCCACACCCCCACCGGCATGAAGAGTCAGCATGGGAACAAGCACCACCACCTTCAGCCCCACTCCTCCGGCCGCAGGAGGCATTTAAACCGAGCCAACACTTTCCACGGCATCAACCCGCTCCTCTCCTTCAATGGCCACTACGGCGACTCTTCTAGTAGCCTGTGGAAAACCAGGCGCTACAGCCCAGGCATTAATGGGTAAGACGATGAAGCGGGTTTAAGTGGTTTTGCACAGGTATCTAAAAGTGTGGTCTGGGGCCTACAGGAAGGACTTGTTACAAACCGACTTTGACCCATGTCAGTAAAATATTAGGCTATTTTTGGTCGGCTATAAATGGGTTTTTATGGATTCACTTTTTATGAGTTCTACTTTAACAGTTGGTGTAGGTTGAAGCAAACTTTTTGTACTTTGAGGTATAGTGGGATGGTATTCTGATTCTGATATTCATTATCTAAAACTAGCTAATCCACCCAGACGTATTTAAAGGATCACAGGAATTATATATTTGATTGTTAAACAACCTTTTGGTTTTAAATCACACTTGACTTTTTACAGGAACTGGACAGAGCTTCGGGAAACTGGATGTGCTCTGCTGGTTTTAGTAGTAAATAAAATCTATGTAAAATAACGCAAATGGTGCATTGCTTTGTAACATTAGTGAGCAATGTCAAGACATTAACCTAGTCTTAATTGTATGTTCACTGTCTTTACTGAAAAATGTCTGTTTTGTAAATTAGAAACTGAAAAAATGGCAGAAAACTGCAGTTGCAGGGTAAACGTCTGCTGTACTGTTGAAAAGTACTTTAAGAACATTATGATGACGGATTGATTTCACATCAACTGACATCACAGCGTCAGCAGTATTCATTAACCGTACCAGGTTTTCATTAGATGACCCACCTGTGTATCACCTGCATTATATTCTGTAGAAGAAGAGTGTACGATTGATCCCAAAAGTTCATGAAAAAAAAATTCAACTGACTTTGTTATTAAAGCTTTATTTTTAGGCCTGTATAATAAGAGCTGATTCTAAAATCATTTTATATATAGTCTTTATGTGAGGATTAGCTCAGCTGAGTCTCGATAAGCAATTGTACCATAACATGTTGTCCAAATATAGGTTTAGGGTTGAGAAATGCATGGTTAAGTTACAAATTTGGGTATTTCAACATGCAACAGCATGGGTTCTTTATGCCACTCCATTTTCTCTGATATACGTTTATCACTCATTCTAAATATTTCCACAGTCTGCATGAAGAAATTGTCGACTTTTTCAACTTCATGTCACCACGGCCAGAAGAGGAGGCCATGAGGAGGGATGTCGTAAACAGGATAGAAAGCGTCATTAAGGACTTGTGGCCCACAGCAAGGGTAAGTGTAATTTGCCTCTACAAAAGGGTGGAAATGTACCAATGTTGTGATCCTTGTGTACAAGAGCTGTTCACATAATTACCTCCCTTTTGCTGTAGTGTTCTTTTGATGGGACTAAACCTCTTTACCATGTCACCATCACTTGTATGTATGTGCTATAGCTCTTTTCTGTTTATAGGTAAACAGTAACAAGGTTTCTTGTTATTGGAGGTTAAACCTCATCCTGTTGAGTAAAGGATTTAATTTTTTTGTTGCAGGAAGATTTTTTTTTTTTTTTTTTTTTTAAGGGACTTTGTTGGCATGACAGTCTAATTCTATTGCAAGCATTGCTTCTGGAGCCACATGTTATCTTCCTGTTTTCTCCTCCTCAATTCCAAACAATACACGCACTTAACAGACAATTGATGGCTGGAGAGAACACGTTTTCCATGACACTCTTTACATTGTGCTTCTGTGTTTTGAGGTTGAGGTCAACATTTTCAAACGGGCCCAGTAGCCCTGCTCTTCAAAGCATTGTTTTAATGGTGTGCAGTGACTGTTGTTTACTGCCTGTGGAAGTAATTTGCAAAAGTTGTTATGGACTCTATAAATCAGTGTTATGATCTTCCACGGCCTCCACACTTTGAGGTTTTTACTGCATCAAGCATATTGTTTGTCTCACTCGGAGAAAATCAACAGTTTACCGTACACAACCAAATTTGGCCAGATATAGTCACTATTTATGTCGAACCTTTTAAGACGGTGACATTATATGAATTATATCTTATGCTGCGTAAGGAATGTTGGTCTACCTAATGACTAACATCAGTTGTGATGGTCACCAATTATAAACATGTTGAGCTATTTCTGGACCCTGAGGTCTCACAAGGCTCCTCTGTGAGTGAAATTTTATTTTCCCTCTGAAGATTGTTTTGGAATCTCTAATCTAAGCAGTAGTTGCACAAATGTTACGGTTTTATAGCTAGTTTGGTTCCAGGACCAGGAATTGAGTTATTTAACAGGAAATTACACACAGGCATGTCATCAATACCTAATCACTTTTCTTGGAAAAAGTAAAAGTGCATTTATTCAGATGTTGTGGCATTAATTCTCACCTTTGGTCCTGGGGATTGCTGACCTCAGCATTTTTTTTTTTCCCTCTTATGTCTCATTTTTATTTAAACACTATAAATCAAATGTTGTAGTGTCTGCCTTGGGTTTTTTGGACCAGAATATGAACTTTGCAGAAGCAGAAGTTTATCATGAGTCAATAAGGTCAGAACTTGATTTCCTCAAACAGTTGGTGTATTCAGACTTGGTATTAGAGCTCAAAATGTTTGTCCTGTTTTTGTTGTAAAAGAAACAATTTTATGATCTTTTGTTAGTTAAAATGTTTTAACAATGTGTCATTGCAACACACAGACTATTAATTTTTTTGGAATGTGGACATCACGAGGATGTCCAATCCCCCTACATGACTAAAGGTTGAACATGCTCGCACATAATTTGCTCATGTGATAATGATTCACTCAAAATGCTTTGTCACTCAACAGCCTTGTGTTAATTTTTTTTTTTTTTTTTTGCAGGTGGAGATATTTGGCAGCTTCAGCACGGGACTTTATCTTCCAACAAGGTAAAGTTTGATTTGGGAGTTTTTTTTCTTGTGTAATTTTTCATTTAATTGCAACTTGGACTTATAAAACCTGTTCCCAACGGGCTAAATTTTGGGAAAATATGTTTTCATATTGGCCTGGGTTTCACTAACATGCAGTGTGGTGCTGACGCTGTTCATTAGTAAATGCCATATCAATCAAAGCAGCATTTGCTGAATGAAGCAGGGAAGCTGAACGTCAGTAAAGGGCTATTTTTGGCCCTGCTGTATTTATATTCAAACATACTCTGTGATTTGTAAAGAACAGAAAGAAGAGCACCAGGTTGACGAGGTTCTGCTAATCTACCTTGACAAAATGGACTTTATTCATGTTCAACATTTGGACTTTTGGTTCCCTTCAATGTCAATTGACGTCAGTTGTTTGGCTCAAATGCTTCCTCAGGAAAATGTGCTTGGTTGGAAATTAGCACAGCCATAATGACAAATGCCCCCTGCAGTGTAAGGTAATAGGCCTTAAAATTGAAGGACTCTTTTAGTGCATTTGTAAAATGGATTATTAACCTTTGCAAAGTCTATCAACAAAGATTGAGATAGAGCTGAACGTGTTAACTGGAGCACATCTGAAAGTCCTTTTCTTGTTCTCAGTCCTGTAGAACTCTTCACTTTGGTTAAAGCTTTACTTTGCTGTTCGTATTCATCACCTCGAAGGACAGATGTTCGTGCCAGGTTTCAATGGGAACTTAGTTGTGCGCACAAAATGTATGTACTACTGTGTGCTTTTGTTCTCAGTGACATTGACCTGGTGGTTTTTGGAAAGTGGGACCACCCGCCACTGCAGGAATTGGAACAAGCCCTAAAAAAACGCAATGTAGCCGGAACGTATCCCATCAAGGTCCTTGACAAAGCTACAGTGAGTTAACATTTTTGGCTAATAGTCAAACAGTTGTCAAAAATCTGTATTCTGATTAATCACAGGCTAGCCTTCAAGATTGATCATTATTACAGTGAGCATTGAACTGTCCATGCATTAAATAGTTTAAATATTCTCATAGTTTAACAGATAATTATTGCACTATGATTTCTTGATTTTTGACAGCCCTAGTTATCAGTTTTAAGGTTCCAGTGGAAAAAGTTTCTGTGAATAGACTGAATATAAAAATGGGTTTAACCTATGACCTCAGGTGCCAATCATCAAGCTCACTGACCATGAAACGGAGGTGAAAGTAGACATCAGCTTCAATGTGGAAACTGCTGTGAAAGCAGCCCAGTTCATCAAAAGCTACCTGAAGGTAAAGATAAAAAAAAAAAAGTTTTCTTTTTAAACATTAGCCATCTGTTTGGTTCAGTCCTGACATGGTTCTCCCGGTTCTCAGAAATACACTGTTCTCCCACCGCTGATCTTCGTCCTGAAGCAGTTCCTGCTGCAGAGGGATTTGAATGAAGTTTTTACAGGAGGCATCAGCTCTTACAGCCTTATACTGATGGCAATAAGCTTCCTGCAGGTACATTACATTTATGTACTCTTCTGTCCATTTAGAGCTGTATTGAACAGAAAACATTTCTGTTCATATGTGGTCTAGAGTTTTCAGTTCAAGTTAATTTTACAAGTTAATGGTTAACCTGATGATTAATTGTCCAAACATTATAGAGTTTTACTAAAGTTTCAAGCCAGGTTTTCTAATGTTGCAGTCACCAACAATGACCTGACCTGCAGGGCTGCAAGGTTATAGGTCAGGTGAAGTTTTGACAATAAAATTAAAGCAATTAATTTGCCTCTCTAAGTTACATCCACGGATCGACACGCGGCGTTCAAACATCAACCTGGGCATCCTGCTGATCGAGTTCTTTGAACTCTATGGTCACGATTTCAACTACATGAAGACTGGCATTCGGGTCAAGAATGGAGGAGCCTACATGTCCAAGGAGGAGATGCTCAAAGCCATGGGCAGCGGTAACAGGACGTCAATGCTCTGCATCGAAGATCCGATACAGCCGGGTTAGTCTGAGCTGTGTTTTATGTACTGAAGAGGGATTAACAAATGTGCAAACACAGTTTTGTTTATGGGGACATTTGTCCTCTGCATATGAACACAGCCTGCAGCTTTCTTTCTTTTTCCCTTTAATCTGTTTTGTCTCTAGGCAAAATCTGTTGTACGATTTCTTAAGATTACCAATCTTGCCCCCTTGTGGAGCAGCATGGTGATGCATGGTCAGTGAACATTTTTCAACAGACTTCCTCTGGTCTTTACAGGAAATGACGTTGGCAGGAGTTCCTACGGCGTCCTTCAGGTCAAGCAGGTGTTTGACTTTGCCTACATGGTGCTGAGTCATGGAGTGTCTTCTCTTGCACGTGCTTACCCCAACAAAGACTATGACAGGTTGGCTCTCTTAATAAATCAACTCTTTTTTTTTTGTAGTTTCTTTATGATGTTGCTCTTGTAACAAGTAAATTTCACTCGCGGGATTAATCAAGTTTTTCCTACAACCACGCCTATGTTGCAGCACATTAGGACGTATCATCAAGGTCAGCCCAGAGGTGCTGGCCTACAGGGACTGGACAATCAAGAAGTGGGGAGCTAAGCAGTATGCCAAGCACCAAGAGAATCAAGGTGAGTTCTAGATCATTTTTCTTCAGAGGTTTTGTGAAATATATAACTAAAACTAATCTGTCAAACACTGGCAGTCTCTTCTCTCTCAGATATAGAGACCTGTGAGCAGGACCTGGCCAGGCTAATGCTGGTCTCAGTGGAGGACCAGAGGGACAGCTCCTCCCCCCTCAGTGCTGACTCTCCCTCACCACCTCCAGTCTTCCTCCCTAGTCCCCAACACCACTCATCTTCATCATCGGCATGCTCCCTCTCATCGTCTTCCGGAAGCGACATAGTGAGACTGATTCTCTGCCCTTTACTATGTTTCTGAAGATTTCTGGCATTGAGAGAAAAAAAATGTTTGTTTGGTTTTGCAGGAATCTGACTCACCTCCAAACAGTAATGCGACCATCCAACTCCATCCCCTGACCCTGGCCTCGGTCCATCCAATGATCCAGATGGCGACTGACCTGAGGGCCACGCACGCCGGTTTTATCCACGCAATGTCACAAGTGTGTTTGCTTGAAATTTGGTTTAATCAAACTTAGGTCTGCGCTGGTGTCAGTGGTATTATATTTTTTTTATTTTTATATTTCAGTTTTTAATTACATTACGTTGTTATATTTATATTTAAATGTATTAAATTCATATTTCCTGTCCTGCATCAATTCAAAAACATTCATTTGTTCATTTGTGTTTTTTTGTTGTGATTTCCCAGGTCCAGATGTCCCTCCCAGAGAATCTGACCATCCCCTCCCTCTCTGAATGCCAGTTCTACCACGAGAATCCACCATCCATCAGCGTCGTTCACCGTCACACATCACAAGCAGCACCGATCTCCCAGCACGGCAACTCCACCAACCCTCTCCCCAGCCCCATCCACCGACTCCACCCTACACTGCCTGGAGGGCAGCAGAGCCACACTTACGTCATGAGATCCAACTCTCAAGGATCCATCGAGCCTCATAAGTTAAGCTTCAAGCACAACCAAGGGAGCGTCCTCCAGAACCAAAACCCCTCCCAAGGAAACTTCAGTCAGCAACGGTTTGTCCCCCAGGGAACCAGTCCCACGGTGGGCTTCAGGAACCAGCAGCAGTACAACAGGAACACCTGGCGTCGCCGGAAGAGGGACGACCCCACGGCTCTCAACCAAAGCAGATGAACATCGGGCGGGGGTTCAGGAGCTGAAGACCCCGACTCATCAAGAACTATGGAGATGACGAGCCACGGACGATGCTGTTCCTTCTATGGGCGACTCTAATTTATTACATCATACTTGAATTCCCAAGGGTGAAGCAAGATGTCTCCCAATACTTGGAAATACACAACTTGGCTGAGGATACAGCAGGGCTCCTGTCATTGAAGGGGGAAGGTCAAATTGCAGAACAGGTTCTCACACAGGCCTGGTTTGCAGTCAGACTTCCTCTGAGTTTTTACGTACACCAGCACAGACTTGGAGTCAAACGAGGAACGACTGATTCTCCAGATCCTTGCAACTTGAACATCTGCAGATCTCCCTGTGCCATAGAAGTAAACTGGTTGTTTTTTTTTTTTTTGTTTGTTTGTTTTGTTTTCTTTGCATCTTATTTGGTTTCTCCAGCGATTCCGTGGGGTCTTCTGAATGCATCTGCCCGTTTGGGGTCAGCCTTGAGATAGGGAGCTGCCACAGCTTTGGCCACCGTCTGTGAACTGGACTGTGGGACGGAAGCAAAGCAAAGCACCTTTCTAACCTATGCAGCACAAAGCTGACTTGTTGTTTATTTCAGTGTTTCGGCACAAAGCGGACCTTGTCTCAAGTGCTTCAACTGTGATGACTTTTTTGAATGTACTAAGTGTTTCTTTTTTGTGTGTGTGTGTGTGTGTGTCTGTCATTACTATGTGTTCTCTTGTTTTCGTCACTGAGGGAAGTTTGTTCACGTTGGCACTATGTTTTTGTACTGTAAACATTGCCACCTTATTTTTTTTTTTAAGTTTGTTGCTTTGATGTGTATTACTGACTTGTTTTTATTTAATTTATTTCACTTTTATTTTTAATTTTGTACGTGTTTTTTGATTCTAGACTACATTTATCTGTGCAATAGATGGAGTTAAGGGCCTTGAAGGAGAGCGAGTGAGCATGAGTGTCTGAGCGTTTGTTTCTACAGCTTTCCAGCAGTAGGGGGAGCTGTGCACCTGCATTCGAAATGTGCCAAAAATTCCATGATGCCAACAATTTTTCATTTTAAGTTACCATCGCATTATGACTTGAACTCTGGCCAACTGCCTGTCTAAATGTTTTCCCACTGTCGGTTCATCACCCTTCTCCCTTCTCCGTAGTTTTTGACTAATTTGGTGCATTTCCTCCCCGATAGACCGTAGACTGTGCTGGGGAAAACACACTTTCAGCAGTATTCTGTTCTTAGTTTCACAAACAGTCGGTGCTACTTCTTTACCAGCAAGATGCTTGTTTTTTCTGCCTTATATCTCCTCAGATTCTGTTAAAGTGACAGGTTAACTGCCTTTTGTAGAAGACCAAATTTGTCCTCCGCCCTGGCTGTAGTTGAAGCCCTGAGTTTCTGTATGCACCGTCAGGGTCACTTGGCTTTTTATTTTCTAAGTGAAGCTTCTCTTTGTATGCTCCAGAGAGCAAACTGCAGTAACTTGTGTTAGCATTGGTGGCATTTCACCTTGTTTTTTTGTTTGTCCCCTCCCTCCCCCCACCTTTTTTTTTTATTTTGCACTTGTCATTTATAGAGGCCATACATTTCCAGGAGGCTTAGCCTCCATATTTAAAGTCTTAAACAAGGTTTGGAATCCTGTAACTTATACAACAGTCCATACGAGAATTAGAGCTCGATGTCACAGATGTATTCACTGTTCTATGATTTTAGTTGAGAGCCAATAACTTAAAGTGTCGTGGTCACGAACTTCACAGGCCTGTACTGTAATACCTTGAACTCGACGTGATGATGTTAACATTGTCTCGTTTTATTACAGCTTTACAGCAGCCAGACTAAAGCACCCCGAACAGATCGTTACATCGTCTTTGCCACAATTCAAATCTCCGGCTCATATCTGTGTCATTAAGAATGGATCGTCATTTGTAAATGATTGACGTATATAGATGTATACCTTGATTTTTATGTAAGTTTTTCTATTTTTTTAAATAAACATTTTAAAACTCCACTCCTGCCCCTGGCCAGTTTGTTGTTTGTCTGCAAGGATTGAAGTGATCAAGAATCTAACTGTTTTGGGTTCTTGAAAACATCAGACATTAAAAGTCAGTGGTACGCAAGCGCTCTCTAGTGGTATGCGGGGAAAATTCATTTTTTCACATTTACATTTTCAATTGAATAAATCTGAAACATACCATGCACAATTAATACAACATTTAAACATATTTTTTAAACATGTATAAACCTCTCTCCTGTGGTGGAAGCTAACAGTGAAGGCCTATGCTGCTATATTCTAATGTTGGTCATCATGGTGGTACTCAGAGAGCTCAAAGTTTTCTTAGGTGGTACAGAGTATAAACGTTTGAGAACCATTAGTCCAGGGCCCAGAGCTGAAAGGCCCCTGGTGGACCCTCCTACCTGGGCTCCTCAGGGTGTCTTAAAATGCCTCAGACTATAATTGCCTCCAATCTCAAACTGCGAAGATGTATCCAATGCTGGAACATCCATCCATCTTAACCATCTTGGTTGTTAGCTAACAAAATATTACTGTCCGACTTACCAGAAGCTTCCCATGTGATTTTTTTCACTACCCATTCTGGGAAAACACATTAGGTCTGTTATCTTTTTCCAGGAAATTCACTTTCCGTCTATATTAAAAAGCTTCAGACAAATGGTTTTTCTAGGAATTATATTTGTTTTATGTGTTTTGACATTAGTTCTCAGCAGTCAAGGTTTAATCGGCTGGAATGCAGCCCCAAACCATTCCAAAGACATCCTTGTCCCTCAAGGACAATTTTAATTAATTAAATTTTAATTATTTTTTCTTGTTTCCTGAGCTCCCCTTTGTCACAAGGATGCCAATGTGAGAAATTGTTCTTATTTTCTTATCTTTTAAATTTCTTCACTAAAAACTGTACTTTATATGTTAATTTTATAGAATAGTGTTTGATGTGTGTAAAAATTTGTTATGTTTTAAATGACTTACAGTATTCAATTGTTGTTTAGTAACTTTTATGTTTGTTTATTGTCTGCTTTCATCTAGTCAGACATTTCGGAAAAAATGCCAATTTGTATATATTCAATAATTATAATTAATTTGGAATAGAATACATTTTTAAAAATAAATTATCATCTGTAGTTCCTCAAGCTACCTAATGAGGGCACTGCTGGACTAAAGCTCTTTACTGTGTTACTTTCACACCACCAACAGCGTGCAGAGAGGTGGGACTTCGGAGAAAACGCGTCCTCCAAGGTTCAACCATTGCTGAGTTAGTACCATGGAACCATTGTCATTTTATTCCGATTAAAACCAAGGCTGAAGGGTGGCCTCCCCGAGGCCCCTTCCACCCTCTCCTGTCCCAAAACACGCTGACACGCTGTCGCGTCCACCTCTGGCTCTGTTTTCAGAGATGATTTAATAGCAGTGATGGCCTTGGCAGAGACTTTACATCATGGCGCTGCTAAAACCTGGTCCTTCACTGTTGAGGGAGATATTACCCTGATTAGATGATTAGATATTGATCCTTCATTGGAAAATGCACGTGCGCGCGCGAGTGCACGTGCATTTTCCAAACACACTCTTCGTACTCTGAGGAAAAATCCAGCCCGAAGCATTTTACTGTAATTACGAATACAATCTTTTTAATGTTCCACCACTCTACTTTGTTTCTGGATTATTCCTACAATTGGGAGTGTCTATGCGCGAGCGCGTCGTTGTTCGGACTTCTGTCTCAGAGTAAATCAGTGTCTGATTCTTTTGTGTATGACAGCAGCAGATGTCATGAGGCACCACGTGAGGCTCACTGGGATGTGCAGGTTATTAGTGTTAGCAGACCACATTGTTCTAATGAGAGTCAGTGAATGTCAGCACTCAGGAGACGTCAGTCAAATACTAATTATTACAAAGGATCTTTTCAGCAAAACCCGGCAGCATAAAATTCCTCTCAGACCTCAGTGTCTCATCCTAGCAATAGAAAAGAGAATTCCTCCAACAGAAAATGTAAGGTTGGTTCTAGTAAGACACAAAAATGACTTTTAATCCTGTTAAATGACTGCCTGACTACTACTTATCATAAACCACTGCTGTTAACAATCTAATTTAAAATAATCCAATCCAGTCCAATTTCATAATCTCACCTCATCCAGTCCAGTCCAGTCCAATCTAATCTAGTCTAATTTAATCTAATCTAATCTGATTTGTTCTAATCTAATCTAATCTAATCTAATCTAATCTAATCTAATCTAATCTAATCTAATCTAATCTAATCTAGATTGTTTACTTTATTTTTGTTTGTTTTGTTTGGGGATTTTGTTTCACATTAACCATATATAAACACCTACAGATAACAACACAACCCAAGTCAACATTATTTATTTATTTATTAACTCATTGTCTTCCTGTGTTCAGAGAGTGTGAGAGTTGTAAATGATAACCTGATGTCATGTGTGAAATCTGATCTACTGGTAATCCTGTAAGCACCGTGGGTAAAACGAATGGAGGAAAGGCTTCCTAATGAGCCAGGGGTAATGTTAATAATTGATCAAAGTCGATGGAAACGGCTGTGCAGCCTATTACCATTCCATTTTTGAGCTTCATTCATAAAAACTAGGACGATAACAATTACACACAAAAAAAACAGCTTACACTGTTTCTCTCTTGTCTGGATGTGTTTGCAGATCACATGTACCATCTACACTGACCAGGACATGATTACACATCAGCGTGTAATATGGTTAGCCCTGCTTTATTTTCATTAACCTATTAATTACCTTAAGGAAATCACTATATTAAATTACATTTAACTGATCCATGACGCGCCCCAGTGAATAACACCACACACACACAGGAGCAGGGGGCTGGACTATTCTAGGGTGACGTAGCTACCTCAACACAACACACTCCTGCCAGGCTTTGGTGTGTTGGTGGTTGCCAGTACGAATCCCAGAATCGAACTGACAACCACCAATCAGTTTGGAGAACTGAGAGAATGCTATGTTTTGATTGTTAGGATGTGTTGAGTGAAGATAATGGATGTCATGTACAGTAATATTTAGTAGTATGTTCAAAGTATATTGTCCATGTACATGGAAGGTGACTGGTATCACAGTATCACAGAAGCATAAGAAGGAAGAAAAAAAGTTGACTGACGATGAACAATTTATTTTTGCTTCTTTCCACTGATGCAGCAGCTTATTAACCATTCTGCTGCTGTGTGAGGGCGCTAATGATGTGTGTGACCGTGTGTGTGTGTGTATGTGTTAACTCAGTGACATGAGAATTTACAGCCAGGACCTATTTTTGAACCTGGCACCAGCGTCAGCTCCTCTCACATGTGACACCTGACTGCTGCTGCAGGGCTGTGTCACAAATAACGGACTAAATTGATTATTTGTCAGTATGGATCAATTCACGCGTCACAATAAGAAGTTAAAGGTCACACTCAAAGTCTGAATGTGCATCTCATGCCCGTGGCATAATTCACACTGATGTGTAGAGCGACTATTAATTACCTTTGGAGCAACTGTTTTCCCTCATTGTCATAAATATAAGCCAGATAGTTGGATTTAAAAAACAAATCATTTTTATTATTTATTAATAATTTTAACAGTGATGACTCTCAAGTGCTTACGTCTGTTTGAAATTTCCCATTATATAATGTTTAATGGGGGGAAGAAGGTAAAGATAAAAAATGTATTTAATTTAATAAGAAGACAATGACAGATCAACATTAAATGATATGATAAAATCAGACAAATTCATCATCTACATTCATTTATACCATGATGCATGTTTATTCTCACAACATTCTCAATTATTCTTTGGTGAAGTAGTTGAAGTACTGTAGTGATACTATACATTTATAGTTTATTTATGGAGTATCAAAAGAAAGTTGTTGAAAATGTATAGTTGCATCACAGAAAAATCCCACAAGATGCATCCTTCTACAGGCAATAATCAATTCCAACTCAACAGCATTTAGTAATTAGTACAACACACTCATTACACACACTAACTACACCTGACATACAGTGACCCGAAGTCAACACTGAGGCGCTACATAAAAAAAAACAAAAAACTGCACACCTGATCTTAAGTGAAGACGACAGAGCCATTACTTTGTTTTGCTGGTATCGAGCAAGGTGACAATTTAGTTTAACCTTGATTTTAGTATAAAATCACAGCCTTGTCTTTTCAACTTTCTACCTTTAATATTGCTCAGATTTATCAGTCAGCACAGTCAGGCTAAATTTGGTCCATTCCGGGGAGCCATTGCAAAGAAGCTTAAGAGCCACATGTGGCCCGGGAGCCACAGGTTGCAGAGCCCTGACCTTGAAGCTTGAAGAACTCTAAAGTAATGGATACAGCTGTAACCACAGAAACAGCGTTCATTTGTCTCTGCATCCCTGACCTTTGACACCATCATCAATGTGAGCGGCCACAAAAACAGTACTGATATTTTTTTACTTTACCTCGGCACTACTACCTTTACCGACACATTCCTCTTCTTCTCTGCCTCCTTTCATCACCTCTACACATGACAACTGCAGTAGCGTTTCCAGCAGCTCATTAACCAAAGTCCTTATTAAAGTCCAACATTCCCAGCCAGTATTCAGGTGCAGGTTTTTCCCTCCACAGGCTCTTCTTATGGCTTCATCACTACTACGTTCCTCCACAGCTACATATGTCAGAGAACATCCAGGTCAAACCTTCCCTCGCAGCAGAGATAATCAGGTGTCTAAATTTAACCTTTCTACTATCAAACGTCTGCGGTGTTGCTCCTTCCTGTGTGGTTTCTGATGATGTTCCTCCTTCAAAATGTCACCATTCTTAAGACCCTTTAACTGTCAGAACCCTTTTAAGGCTCACCTATTCTGTCCGGCCATTTCAATTCAGAAGATTTCCTTTGAAACTGTAAAGCTTCTTTATAAAAGAGTTTTTTTTTTGTCAAGTCATATGTCTATTTTTTTTTACCCTATACCCTTTATAGACCTTTTTCACTAACCTTGTAT